GGGTGCGACGTTGAGACAAGACTTCCCAACCAGTTTCGAAGTAAAGAGACGCTCTACTAGCAAAAGATGGCAGGCCGGTGACAATACGCGCCGCTTCTAACTGGAGTTTTTCAAGTTTATTTGCATCGGCAGTTGTACAACCGTCCCAAACTTCGCAACAGTATTCAAGCAGAGGGAGTATAAAAGTAAGATAAATTCTGTTTAATGTCTTGCGATTTAAAGTATATTTTAACTTGCGGAGAATTCCTATTTGTTTCGTAACAGTTTTACAAATGTTATCAATATGGTGAGTCCATTTACAGTTAGCATCTAGGAAAATGCCTAGATGTTTATGATGTTCGATAAAATCAATATTAACATTATTAAAAATGAGATTGACATCAAGCTCAGCATTGGTATTTGAAATTAGTAGCGCTTCAGTTTTATTAGGATTAAATTTAACAAGCCAATTTTCTGCCCAGTTATGATTTTTTTCAAGATCTCGGTTAGTAGTAGTTTCTAGTTCAATTGCGGAAGGAGAAGAGACGGATAGGGAAGTATCATCAGCAAAAAGACGGGAAGGGCTGACAAGGTTATCAGTTATATCGTTGATATACAAGAGAAAAAGAAGCGGACGTGTAGATTGAGGGGTCCAGACGTACCTGACCGAAACTAAAATGCTGACTATTGCCAAGTTGCGTTATTTCTTTCTTAAACAATGTCAAGGCACATGTAATTTTTAAGATACGTTATGTAATTTAGTGGACGCGTGAGAGAAGGGCATAATATTCTTGATACATTGTTTTTTATCCTCCGAAACTGTGGATTTTTAGCTCTGCTTATATAACGGTCCAAGTGTGTTCGTTTATCGTGGAAAATTTCTGCGCCACACGTACCTTTTCAACCGGGATACGCGAATATAGCCTTGGGGCCTGTTCGTTTATGCGGAGCAACCGGTTTGACCGTTTATAAATGTAACAATTTCAAATATGTATGCAGGCCTTGCAAGGCTTTCTCAAGGCTCGCCTGAAAGCAGCATCAGATTACTAGGTCCGACCTTATTTAAAAAACGAACAACAGTGGTCCGATCGGTTTGACCGTTTAAACGAAAACGGCCCAGATGTCCTTATTTTACAGTCCAAGGGAAGTAACTGTTAAAAAAGATTGAGGGACAACAGATCTTACATGTATATTACCACGGTTAGCTAATTGGCCTACTGTAGACAGAGTTATTACCGACATAAAAAAAATCCAAGAATTAAACTGAGGAGATCATATATTAAACCATTTTGTATCTCAGTTGTGCTACAAGAACCGAAGTTAATACCTACCTGACCAAGATAGGCAATCATAACGGTAAATTAGAAAAACGGTACATGTAAATACTAAATACTGTCATTGTGTATTTAATTGTCTGACTGGAAGTTGAATTGGGGCACGAGAAAGAGTTACGACGATTCCGACAGTGGTAAATGGCCGTCTGGAGAGTATGTCGAGTCGTTTTGATACTTTTTCAGTCGGTTTCATTCTTCTTTTTTCGACTAAAAGACATGGGTTTTCATTAAAATGTCAACAATAAATGTCTAATATGGATTTTGTTATCTTCAGAACTAAGTTTCACGGCAGAAGGAAATCTAGAGTAGAGTGAATGCCCTCTGATTGTCAGAAGATCGTGAAGGTCAGATGGCGGTGTTTTGGTAACTGATGACGTACATCGCGTCATGATAAATTGTATCAGAGACCTCTTCCAGGCTTTGACCCTTTCTTGATTTTAAACATTTTACTGGGCCCGATTAACCTATAGTTATCTCTTTTTTCAGTAGCAGTCCTTTTTAAATTGTAGATTAGTTTCTCCTTGATAAATAAATCTCATCTTGACTTTTATAATAAATGTGTTTTTTTAGGGACGTATGATGGAGCTCCATATACTGTCCCTGGTTTTTATTATCTTAAAAATTATGTGAACGAAACATTTATCTTTGAAAAATGAATATGAGTGATATTTTTATTATTTTAAATTATGATGTATCATTAATGCGGATTGCCACTTCGATCTGTTCTTTGATTATTTTTTTATTTTATTTTTATATAAATGATGCTTTTATGAAATACTAAATATAAGTTTAAAATTCGTCACAAGGCTAATTTTTAAATGAATATTTCAATTCCAAACTAATGCTTTCGTAATATAGGAGGTTATAAATGGTTTTGGTAATTCTGCGTGTACATGTAGCTCGTTCATTATCTAAAGCGAGGGCAGAAAATACACTGTCAATAATCAAATCAATACATAAAACCTAAAACGACGATAATGATAAAATAATTTCATGAATTAACTTCCGAAAGATTTTTTAGTAAAGTCCGGATATATTATACAATCTCCGTATCCATACGTGTGTATTAGTGTGTCAGTTTATCTGCGAACCGCATACGTTTGAAAATATTCATCTGCGTGTTTACGATGCTTCAAAATCCACATGCGGTGAAATTTGTTGTCATTTAATGAAGTTGACTTGATACAGCACAAAGTCAAGGTAATCTGTTTACTCAGTGACACATTTGTTTTAAATACTTAACCGGGTACTCAGTAAGTTGTATTTATGTTAGCGTCACTACCGTGAAAATTAGATTTTGCTAGATGACCTTTTCTCGAACCGCTTGCAAAAGCCACAGGTGCTTGTACCTGGTTACTGGTATTTTTAGAATGCCTGAGCTAAAATCCAAAATCCACTACGTACAGTTGATATTGTACGTAATGGATTTGGGATTTTAGCTCAGGTATTAGATACCAGATACAAGCGCCTGTGGAAAAGAAAACCTTCTGCAATTGGAAGTTTGTAAAGTAAAAAATAGCATGTTAAAATATGAATAAGTCTTCCCTACCCTAATATTTACATTTGTGTTGCAGTACCACTAGATAACAGTACAAGCTGAAAATGTTTGCATGATTCAATAAAAGCAAGTGTGTAGTAATATACTAATATTAACAGTACTACATGTACCGTTTCATGACCTTTGACCCCCAACACACAAACATATTTCAACAATCTTTTTTTTTTATTATTATCAACAAGAAATCACCCTGAAATTTAAGGTAGTGAAATATTGGGCGTTTTGGTACACAACAAATTGTTAATATTCCTGTACAACCACCAGTTACAGAGGATGAAAGATGCTGGTACCAAAAACAGCAATGATGAAAATCAACAAAATCACCCTAAATTGAGTTATGACACATTTTACCGACTGAATACCTGTGTGTCAACCAAATATTTAATGAGCATGAGGAAATTGCAACCATGATTCACTTGTTTATTTACATTCGTCTTATTTAAGTATAGTCATATTTGACTATAGAGCCAAATCTCCTTTATTGCCAGATTTGTCTGTGCTCCAGTTCTTGTCCAACTTAGCTTTCCTTAGGCATTGGAGCACCGACAAATCTGTAGGCATTATAAATGATATCAGATCTAGATTTAGCTACATATCATAGAACGAATGTAAACAACCCATTACTGGTTGTATTTATCTTCTAGATCTGCACGTTGTAAAAATTGTGGATCAGACAGGTGAGTTCCTGAAATTAAAGATTCTAGTCAGGTCATACTTAAAAGCACAGGTGATATGATAGCACATAAAAGCGCCTTAACCGGCAACAAGTGTTGCCAGACAAAATCTTTGAAAAATACCCAAATAAGGCGAAATAAAAATATATGTGTGTTTCCTGTTTTGGGTTTTACAGGTTAGTAGGATTTTGATTTTTTTTATTACCTGGTATTATTGTATTTTTTTTTTTTTTGATGAAGAATAATGAAGTCTTTCGTCCCCTCGGGGGTAAGATAAGGGGATTTCAACCCGAGGGGGGAAGATTCTTAATTTGCCAAACACAAGGCTTTGCCGAGTGTTTGGCAACTTAAAAATTCCCCCCCCCCCCCACCAAATATATATTTTTTCATTCACGTAACATAAGTACACAAAAGCATTCCTAGTTTTTTGTAATGGCAGGCCCAAATTATATGACACATTGAAATAAATTATTATTTGACCCACCTAAATGTTTATGGAATAACCAACATAATTTACAGTATAGTGCTACCACCAGTGTTCCAGTTCTTAATTATCCCTACAGCTGGACACTAGTTTTTAATAATCCAAACTCCACTGATGATCACCACCGCAGTGTTAAGTTCTCTTTTGTATTACTGATACTTTCTGTTCTCAATATTTCCACTGTCACCAGTTCAAACTAGTTGAACAACAAAATGAGTGCATACATGTATACATTTACTGAACTCGATTCCCCAACCCAACTCTCTCCTCCTTTGACTCCCAAGCTGAACTACCTTACTATATCGGTCCCTTAGCAAAATCCTGCTACTATAAAAATGTTGATACATTAAAATTGTTGATGCTCCTGAAATCCTGCTAAATTTGACTTGGAAAAAAAGGTTTGGTCAGAAAACTGGACCACAGCTATATTTTTATTTGGTTCTAAAGTAAGCGACATCAGCAGTTATGGTCTTCATATGACTATAATACACCTGTATACAAAATTTCAGTTCGATATTGGAAAACTTGACAGAGTTAACCCTAACCCAGATGAATTATATCTTATCAGTATGTTATCCTCCACAGCGACCAGAGTGGCTTTAAATTAAGAAGAATAGAATTTTCAGCTCGACTGGCCCAAAGGGCCATGTGAGCTTATGCCGTACTGCAGCGTCCGTCGTCCGTCCGTCAACTTTTGAACGACTTCTTTTGAAGAACTGGAGGACCTAGGGTCATGATATTTAGCCATTAGGTACTTGGGATGGAGTGCTATAACCTTTACCCATGAAATATGTTAAAAATTTCAAACAACAATATCCTAAGAACCATTTGGACTAGATCTTGAGTCATGATACTTGGGTATGTTATGTAGAGCAGTAGTATGAATATTTTTTTTGATTACAGTTATGAAGTCAAAGGTCAACTTTAAGTGCTAGTCAGGGGTCAAATGTCAACATGGGTTAAAAGCTTTAACAATCTTCTCAAGTTCAATAAGGCCCAGGGTCACGGTATTTGGCCAATAGGTACCTGGGATGGAGTGCTATAAAGTTCCTCATTAAAATGACCTTGATCTACTTTCAAGGTCACGGGTCAAATATGTTAAAAACTTCAAACAACAATATCCTAAGAACCATTTGAAATAGAGTCATGATACTTAGGTATGTTATGAAGACTAGCAGTGTGAATCTTTTTCTCAATTACAGTAATGAGGTCAAAAGTCAACTTTAAGTGCTAGTCGGGGTCAAAAGTCAACATGGGTTAAAGGCTTTAACAATCTCCTTCTCAAGTTCCATATGGCCTATGGTCATTTATTTGGCCAGTAGGTACCTGGGATGAAGTGCTATAAACTTACCTCATAAAACTTACCTTGACCTATTTTCAAGGTCACAGGGGTCAAATATGTTAGAAACTTCAAACAACCATAGCCCAAGAACCATTTGAACTTATAAGAATCATGATACTTGGGTATGTTATGAAGCTCAGTTGTGTAATTTTTTCTTTCTTTATTATAGTAAGGAGGTCAAAGGTCAACTTTAAGTGCAAGTCGGGAGTCAATGGTCACTGTGGGTTAAAAACTTTCAAATTAAAATTTTAATATCTTAAGAACCGTTTAAGAGATGTTTCAATGACTTGTGTTCTAGTTACCAAATTTGGTCTTAAGTTATGATATGTCAGTTTCTGGTAACAAATGAAACAGATGAGCGATACAGGCCCCCTGGGCCTCTTGTTCCAATATAAATTTTGTATACATGTGTAACAGGAGAAAGAGAAATGCAACAGCCAGACCGGGGTTCAAACCAGGGACCCTCCGAACTCTAGATATACGCTCTGCCTCTACCCAGTCAAGTTCCGCTACATTCCTCCCTCCTCTAACAAAGTCTTGGACCCCGAAGACACACGCCACCCTATACCACCTTCCGTGGATATATTTCGTTGGGCGCCAAATTTGTAAAGGAGAAATAGTCAAAGAGAAATGCAACGGCCAAACCAGAGTTCGAACCTCGGACCCTCTGAACTCTAGATGAATGCTCTACCTCTCCTGTTACAGTGGTGCCTGTAATTAACCAACCCTTGTTTCAAGAATTTGGTGTATGCGTTGCAAGGGGATACCCAAACCTGGGTTGTAATAAGTTGTGTCTTCAAGGGTGAAAACTTAGAAAAAAGGAGGGAGGAATGTAACAGAACTGGACTGGGTCGATTGTTGGCGACCAGATAACTCAATTGGTAGAGCGTCTGTCTAGAGTTCAGAGGATCTGGGGTTTGAACCCTGGTCTGGCCGTGCATTTTTCCTCTCCTGTTATACTAACAAAACCCTCGTGTATATTCTTGTTTGATGTATGAATATTATTGCATGCTGAAACCTGATTTGTTTTTACAGTTGTTCACAGCAATTTGGATACATTACATTTATAGGCCCAATGTATCCTAGAAAGAAGAAAAATCCAGATTTTAAAACAGTCCCCTGTGGGTGCATGTCTTATGTTCTTCCTCAGAGAAAAGTAGTGCTTGTAACACTATAATGAATAAATACTGTTTTCTCCTTTCAGATGCCAAGGTTAATAGACAGGAGCAAATTTGTAGTGATCAGACTAGCACTCCATGGCTGCACAAACAGACCGTTCTTCCATATTGTTCTGGCACGAAACAGAAGTCCCAGGAATGCAAAACCTATCGCTCAGCTGGGAACGTATGACCCTTTGCCAAACAAATACAATGAAATAATGGTTTCACTTAACATGGACAAAATCAACGACGTTCTTCGTCTTAAACCAGTTATTTCAAAACCAGCTGCCAAGTTATTAGGTAAGAAATCAATGTACTTGGCTCCCAGTGTTCTATAATCATGAGAGTGAAGGTCGATTCCAACATCAGTTCTACTGTATGCCCACTTGAAAGTTTATTGGATATCACATTGAAAATCATGGGTTGTAGGCATTTTTAGGGAATTAAAACATTTCAAAATTATTCCCCTAGGTATCAACCTCTGAAACTTCCCTCATTCCTCATTTCCAATCAGGGAGAAAGTGTGCAAACACTCATTTTATCTTTCCCTTCTTATGCATCAAAATAACTCCAAAAAGCATCCATTTGATTCAGACACACCTGCTGTGATCATTACACACCCTGCAGACACTAGGAGATCATTTGACCACAGGACGTAGATTTTGACTTTGTGTGAGTTTGGACTTGAATGAGGGAGATTGTTAAAATTTGGTCAAAATGAGAGAGTCTCCCTCCTAATGAAAGAGTCTCCCTCCTAATGAGAGAGTCTCCCTCCTAATGAGAGAGTCTCCCTCCTAATGAGGGAGTGTCCCTCCTGATGAAAGAGTGTCCTTCCTAATGAGGGAGTGTCCCTCCTAATGAGAGTCTCCCTCCTAATGAGGGAGTGTCCCTCCTACTGAGTGTCTCCCTCCTAATGAGGGAGTCTCCCTCCTACTGAGTGTCTCCCTCCTAATGAGAGAGTGTCCCTCCTAATGAGAGAGTCTCCCTCCCAATGAGGGAGTGTCCCTCCTAATGAGAGAGACTCCCTCCTAATGAGGGAGTGTCCCTCCTAATTAGGGAGTGTCCCTCCTAATGAGAGAGTGTCCTTCATAATGAGGGACTGTCCCTCCTAATGAGGGAGTGTCCCTCCTAATGAGAGTCTCCCTACTAATGAGGGAGTGTCCCTCCTACTGAGTGTCTCCCTCCTAATGAGAGAGTGTCCCTCCTAATGAGAGAGTCTCCCTCCTAATTAGTGAGTCTCCCTCCTAATGCGGGAGTGTCCCTCCTAATGAGGGAGTGTCCCTCCTACTGAGTGTCTCCCTCCTACTGAGAGAGAGTCCCTCCTAATGAGAGAGTCTCCCTCCTAATTAGTGAGTCTCCCTCCTAATGAGGGAGGGTCCCTCCTAATGAGGGAGTGTCCCTCCTAATGACGGAGTCTCCCTCCTAATGAGGGAGTGTCCCTCCTACTGAGTGAGTCTCCCTTCTAATGAGGGAGTGTCCCTCCTACTGAGTGAGTGTCCCTCCTAATGAGAGAGGGTCCCTCCTACTGAGTGAGTCTCCCTCCTAATGAGGGAGTGGCCCTCCTACTGAGTGAGTGTCCCTCCTAATGAGAGAGGGTCCCTCCTACTGAGTGAGTCTCCCTCCTAATGAGGGAGTGTCCCTCCTACTGAGTGAGTGTCCCTCCTAATGAGGGAGTGTCCCTCCTACTGAGTGAGTGTCCCTCCTAATGAGAGAGGGTCCCTCCTACTGAGTGAGTCTCCCTCCTAATGAGAGTGTCCCTCCTAATTAGTGAGTCTCCCTCCTAATGAGGGAGTGTCCCTCCTAATGAGGGAGTGTCCTTCCTAATGAGGGAGTCTCCCTCCTAATGAGGGAGTGTGCCTCCTAATGAGAGAGTGTCCCTCCTAATGAGAGAGGCTCCCTCCTAATGAGAGAGTCTCCCTCCTAATTAGTGAGTCTCCCTCATAATGAGGGAGTGTCCCTCCTAATGAGGGAGTGCCCCTCCTAATGAGAGAGTCTCCCTCCTAATGAGAGAGTCTCCGTCCTAATGAGTGAGTCTCCCTCCTAATGAGGGAGTGTCCCTCCTACTGAGTGAGTGTCCCTCCTAATGAGAGAGTGTCCCTCCTACTGAGTGAGTCTCCCTCCTAATGAGAGTGTCCCTCCTAATGAGTGAGTCTCCCTCCTAATGAGTGAGTCTCCCTCCTAATGAGGGAGGGTCCCTCCTAATGAGGGAGTGTCCCTCCTACTGAGTGAGTCTCCCTCCCACTGAGTGAGTCTCCCTCCTAATGAGGGATGGTTAACAACTATGCATGACCAGTAGTACAGTGAGTCAGCTCCCTTTATAATCAATTGGTCAGGGGATTAAATTAAAATTCTGCAAAAGTAAGTGGAAATTTGAGCAACATCTGTGCATAACGGTTATAAGCTTACATCCTGGGCTTTGACTGGTCTACAATTTCTGTACAAAATGTAACTGAATGTCAAATATAATAAGATTTAAAAGAAATTTTGTTCACAACCTAGTTTGTAGGTCGTCTTAAAGTGGTTCACAAATTATTATCTGTGGTTATAGGGTCTTTGCAACCAGCCAACATCTTTCTCAACCGCCTTGGGAGCATACAGCTGGTGCTGCCATTTCGGCACTCACAGCTAGCATTCTACAATTCTAGCACTGCCCAACCATGTACTCAGTTACAATTGAGTAGACTGGAACAAGCGGAGTAAAGTATCTTGCTCAAAGGTACCACACAGTGCTGTGCTGTGACTCGAACCCTTCGGTCACAAGCCCAGCGTCCTACCACTAGCTATTAGACTACTGTGCCTCTTGTTCTATTTTATGCAGGACAAGATACATTCAGGAAATCTTGGACTAGTTTCATTGACATAGGACTAACAAATAATCTTTCTAATTAATTCTGTAGACTTCCAAGCAAATGAAGTGTCTAACACATAGAGTTTAACTTGTATGATAGGACTTGTTTTGGTTGGTAATGCAGTTTCAAGCATCTTGTGATCTGGTCAAGTGGATTTTGTTTGGTACATACAGTGTATATACATGTGCAAATCATTTGAAAGGGTCCACGATGGTCCACTAGAGGTCCAGGCAAGGATTAGATTTTAAATTTGAATCAAAAAATAATAATAATGAAAACTGAAAATAATAGGGGGTGGGTTGAATTTTTGATTTTTTCTCAAAATCTTAATAAAATCATATGCACCTTGAGGGTTTTTTTTCTTGAAAAGAAAGTTGATTTTTTTGTTTCCTTTGTTACAGGGTTAAGTGGTGTTCTGCCACTCCATCCCCTAAGTTACTTAGACGGATTACGATGTTCGAAACGACAACAATTAAAATCTGCCAAAAATTTAAGTATACAGGAAGATGGTGAAGAAGGCAAAGAGGAAGAATTGTGTGATTGATTTTCTACCATTTCTGATGACTTGGGTGTTCTGCCACAAAGAAGAAACAGATCGAGGTGTTATATGACAGTGGGAATAATCACTTTGACCGTGATGATCTTTCAGAGGATAATGATTATAGCTGGTTCAAGAATTGGGGATTATTCAACACCAGCTGTTGCATTGCGGTGGTCGTAACACAAGTGTGATATTACATAAATCAGTTTAGCACAGCGACTCGAACAGGACAGTTCCGACTGCTATACTCTAAAGCAGTTAATTGTTTTGTGTATTATCACAGGAGCATGCCTATTTAATTTGGAGTATATAGGATAAAGGTACATCATGTAGACACTTTTAAAGAACAAAGTATTTACTTGTATGATCATAGATCGTACTACAGATGTATTTACTTGTATGATCATTGATTGTACTGTATTACAGATGTATTTTCTTGTATGATCATAAATTGTACTGTACTACAGATGTATTTTCTTTTATGATCATAAATTGTACTGTACTACAGATGTATTTTCTTGTATGATCAGTGATTGTACTGTACTACAGATGTATTTTCTTTTATGATCATAAATTGTACTGTACTACAGATGTATGTTCGTGTATGATCATTGATTGTACTGTACTTCAGATGTATTTTCTTGTATGATCATAGATCGTACTACAGATGTATTTACTTGTATGATCATTGATTGTACTGTATTACAGATGTAATTTCTTGTATGATCATTGATTGTACTGTACTACAGATGTATTTTCTTTTTTCAAAATCATTTACGTGCATATACCTGTGGTTTTATGTACAGTTTGAAGTTTGTGCAGATTGTTGTTTCTATATTTGGAAATAATACTTGGAAATACAATTTATATGGAATTGAATTTACAGTTTCTGTGATTTTTGGTCAATTTCATCAGTTATGGTATTGAATTGGGAAATTTGTCATGAAAACATAGAATGCAAAATGTTTTGTATTTTCCTGAAAAGGTTAATGAATAGAGCGTAAGAAATATACCAGGTGTGAACATATTGAAAGCTTCAACATTTTTGTAATTTAAATGTTTATTTCAAAATTTCTTTTTTTTGCAACAAAAGAATTATGTAACTTGAATTATTTTAAAAGCCTATAAAACCACTTTTAATAAATAATTGGTCAAGTATATGCAACCCACAACCGATTCTAAAAATGGACTGATTTATCACTCAAATCACATATATTGGAAAGGCATTATGTTTTTTAACATCATTAATAATTGTACTGCCGTTTTATATTCCAACATATATTTTTGGTGCACTCCTTAATCAGGATTCAGAAAAAAAGTATTTCCCTAAAACTTTTGGTTAAGGCAGAGACATATTACATAACGTCTCTGGTTAATGTTACAACTGTGTGGAAAAGAGTTATCTTTATGGTTATTCAACATAATGAAATATGTGTATCTTGATGTTCGGATCAGTGATGAACTTTCTTCAACTACATATCTTTAATCGTGTATCTCAAAGAATATAAGAGAATCAACAGTACATGCTAACTTATAATTAACTCATTATAAACTTTCTGAAGTTTATTCTGTATGATCTCATCACGAACCAAACTTTACAGCTTTGTCCTTTTGACAAAACTGGTCGTTTTGTGCGAGTTAAACTGCCTTAGTTTCGTCAGTGACTGCACATGTCAAACTGTTTGCAGCTTTGTCCCTATTAGAAGGATGTCTGACAGGAAACAGTTTTGTTCCTTGTGATATCGGGAGTTGAACTACTAAAATCTTGTGCCTGTGACTTTGCAGGTTTACAGCTGTCAAAGGTTTGTCCCAATTCTTTACGAGACATACTGCCTCAATTTTGTCCCTATATCTTCACAGGACTAACGTTTACAGTTTTGTCCCTTTAATGGCATTTATCAATCCTTCCCAGATTTGTCCTTTGACTTTGTCGGTCAAACTTCCTCAGTTTTGTTACCGTGATATTGTGGGTCAAATTGTCTCATTTTCAAACAACAGATGATTTCTAAAGGGGGAAAAAAAAGATAAAAATATAGAACAAATGTCACCAATTCTCGTTATTTCGGCCTCCTAAATTGCCCCATCTTTGTTTGCAGAGCAACTTTTACAGTTTTTTCCCCGTGACTTTGCGAGACATATATTGCCCCAGTTTTGAGTGATATGTTTACCCAGCTCCCTTACCTTTTGTTAGACATACGTACAGCCTCCAGTAACTTTTCAGGTTGAACTTTCAGTTTTCCCATTCTGTGGCCAGTGGCATTCACTGAACTGATTTTTAACAAAATTTAAGTTTCTATCGACTATTCCATATAGTAATATCATGAAACTACAGATTCTATTGGACCCTTTTTGTTGTCTAATTCCCAAATGGACAGGGGGTACTCTCCTTCCTGAACACTGGGCATTCATCAGTCGGGAGTCGTGAATCCTTGGTGCGAGTTTTTATGTGGAATTATTTGCCAAAACAATCCTAACTACGGAGTTACTTTCTGGTGAAGTATTGTTATGATGATTTACACTGTATTTTGATAATAGGATGTAATAGTATAGATGTGTGAACGAAATGTGAACTATAAATGTGTGTTTTACAAATGGTGCTGGTATGTTTTTGGGTTATTTTTTCACCTGCAATAGGAAAGCAAAATATAGAAATCACTTCATCAGCAATGTCTGCACAAAGGTTTACTAACAATAACTATTGCCAGAATGCTTTGATTTCGGTAAAGGATGAGTGTCTATAAGACTCTTTTTGGGTTCGGTATATATTTAGAAATTTCGTTTTTTTTTTTGGGGGGGGGGGGGGGGGGTACCGAAAGGGGTAGGGTAAATCACAAATATAATTTGCTGTTTTCAAAATGAGCTTAAAAACAAAAATAATACCATTTCTGCTTTTGGAAACATGTGTAAATTAAACATGCATATATAAAGATTGAAAAAATACAGGAATTCAATCATCACTTACAGATTGCTTATAAAATGGAGGATTAAGTCATGGAGTTGTTTTAGATAACTTTCAAGTGAAAAGTGTTTTGTTTAATCAATAATTTCCTTTCTAATTCATATTATAAGTTGAAATTTACAACTTCACTCATTTGAGTACACTTACATAAAATGCATATTCACTACACACTTTCCTTTTGTTTTATACGAGGTATGGATTTTGGACACATCTCAAACTTGGCAATTTCAAATATCTCTCAATATGACATCTTTGAACATACCGGGGCCCAGAAAAGGGCCTTATAGACACCCATCCTTTCCAACAAATACATAATTAAAGTATTTGTGATTTGCTGAAGTACTGTTTGTTGGACCAGTCTACTTGAGGATATAAGTGAAGTCAGTTTATACACCTAAAAACCAAGTCATTTGTACAGAGACATTGATTTCAGATTTCATTGCAGGTTTTTGAAATCAATGACATTTCCTTGAATATTAAAGTGAACATAATTCAGAACAAGATAGACAGACCTGATGTACATGTTCCAGCATGACTGATTGGTAAAAGTTAACAATGACTTCTTTTTTTAACAACACTCTAAACTGAAGTTGTAACAGAAATTTATTTACAAAACCAGTAAACAACAAACCTGTGACATGTTTACATTAATTCCTCAAACATGATATTTTCAGTCTGTATAAGTGTTGATCAAGTGTATAAGATCATAATAACAAAGGTCAAAGTTTAATGTTAAAAATAATGTTAATTTGTATTTATTTGGTATAATTTGTCTGTATCATCACTCCAGGTTTAGTCATTCCTCAGTCACTGTAATACTTGAGAAGTTTGAGTCCCCTCTCTCCTGTATCTAACACTAAGTGTGACCACAACACATCATCCTTCTGTATACCTACTGGTCCCTGTCCTTTGTTTGTGTGAAGTGTTTTTATGTACTTCCTTGCTCCACCTATTAGTTCTATTGTGTCCCTTGTCCAGTCAACAATAACAATATAACCCTTACTGTCATATACAACTGTTATTGGACCAAACTTGTCTGGTGTGACTGCCTCCCGTGCCTGTATCCCCTCTCCCTTGAAGTGGACCAGGGGCTGGAATGTTGCGTTGTACACAATGATACGACGCCTGTAGTTGTCTCGATCGCTAATGTCTCCACTGATTAGTTTAGTACTCACTACAGCTATGTTACCGGTAACACCACACTGTGTGATGGACTCTACATACCCTGTCCCTGACCCCTCCACAGTGGCTGTGTGTAACAGCTGGCTGTCTGCTGTGTACATCACCACCTTGTACCCCTGTCTACCCACCACTACCTGACCCTCCCTGGTCACAGTCTGACTGGGTACCCTATGTGGTAATCCTTGTGACTGGTGTAGCTGATGTAGATACTTTGTAGATAGTACTCTCACGGGAACAACATAACCACAGACAACCTGTGGTGGGGTCCAGACTGATGTATTGGATGTCACTGATGTGTTGTATCTTCTGTATGACTTGCCCTTTGTTGTTGATGAGGTTTACTGTGTTGGTGTTACAATAACACAGCCATGCACATCCATCAGATGTAGGACAGACTGATGTGATGTCATCTTTATATGGGAACTGGGGATATGACAGTTGGACTGTCACAAAGTTTGTACAGGACTGCTCCAGTGGAGGCTTGACCCATCTCTGTAGCTTTGGACCGTTTAGGTCTCACACCTGGACCTTGTTTGGAGTGACCACTAGGTGCTGATCCTGTCTGGAGATGGTCAGTAGGAGTCTTCATTTTCCCCATAGCCCGCTCCAGGTGACTTTGTCTGGAGATGGTCAGTAGGAGTCTTCAATTTCCCCAAAGCCCGCTCCAGGTGACTTTGTCTGTCGTTACCTGGAGTAAACTCTGTCATGTCAATGTTAGGTGTCTCTGGGATATCTTAAGTCCATGTCCTGGATTTCTGATACTAAGTCATACACAATTACAGCAGTGCCTGTCTGGAGGGTCAAGACTGTTTACATTCTGATGAGAGTTTCACTAAAGTGTCTAACCTGTCCACAGGTTTGTGATGCGAGTCTGAAGGAGGTCTGTTGTCCCCTTCTGCATCTCGTTACATATTGCTAAATAATCTTCCGTTACCTCGTCTAAATCCAGGTTACATTGATCACACCGTTTTTAATATTTACAGAGAGTTTTTTGTAGTTAGATTCACTGGCTGATTGGATTTCTGTTATAATTTTCAGAATTTTGATATATTCGTTTTCATGGATAAAGTCTTGTAGTGTATTTTTTTGTTCATTTGAAATTTTCAAGATTTCACAAAAACTGTCCATATGTTTTTTATGAGTTGTTATGGAGCAAGTAATGCAGATCAGTAATCCACAGTCCTGACAGAGGAGAACCACCTCATTGTTCTTATGGTACAGACACTTTGTCTGGCTTTTGATGATCCTGACTGGAATTTGTCCCTTTAGACTGGGGCTGCTGTGTTTGGTTGCCATGGTTATGGATGTAGGTGAAATAAAGGTGTACAGGGAAGTAACTTGTCCAGGATCTTTAGGTCTTCTTTTGTGTACCTGTGAAAGAAAAAATAATGATTAAATGTTGTATTGATTAAAAAATATGACTGTTTACATTTTAACTTGAATTGTTTCGTTAAACAGATGAGTTATACTATATAACCCCAAACAGTCGATTGTACCCTATATTATTTATTGTTTACCAGTACTCAGCTGCTCTGTTTCTCATGAAAACAGAGCTTTCGCCTCCCACGGCAGAGGGAAGGGGCCCAGTACAGGGAATATACAAAAACACTTTTAATCCTATTCTTTGAGTAGGGATATAGGGATTTTTACCTCAATAGGTCTGTATTATCCTTTGGCCAAGGGAACTCCCAACAGTGTATAAAGACAGGGTGTGACCTTCTTGGGGACAGAAGAGTGGGGCCCGGGAAGGGAAATACATGTGTATAGGAAAATCTTTAAAATCCTATTCCTCGAGTAGGAATATAGGGATATTCACCTCAATAAGCCTGGAGTATCCTTTGGCCAAGACAAATATATCAATGGATATTGGCAGGACGGGAACGGAGGAGTGGTGCCCAGGGAGGGAAATATAGGAAAATCTTGAAAATCCTATTTCTTGAGTGGGGGCCAAGGGATTTTACTTAGTTTAACTTCACTTGGTTTTAAATTAGTTTATTCTGAACGCAGGCATATAGCTGCCTCTTTATTTAGATCATAGTCCATATTTATGTCATCATGATATATATCAATGTTTTTGATGTGAGGTCACTCCAATGTTGTTGTAAATTTCCTTTCATCACTTCCCCAAAATTATTAATCAATGCGGTTTTCAAACGTTATTAGATTTGGTGCTTAAATCACAATCTCAGATAGGGAATCCAAGTTGCTAACAATTCGTTGAGTAAATGAGTATTTACTAACGTCCAGTCCTCTCGTTGATTTATCCAGGCTGAGTTAACGTCCATGAGTCCTTATACGTATCTTATTTCATGGACAAAATTCCCTTTGATGCTGTTGTATCATAGACTCCCCTCAAGATTTTGAATACTTCTATTGTGTCTCCTCTATTACGTCTATAGAATAGAGGCGAAAATTTAAGATGACACAATCTTTCCTCATATGAACAACAGGCCCGATGGGCCTGCATCGCTCACCTGGTATTAATCTCTCACTTGTAACGTTATTTGAATTAAGAGGGAGAGGGCCTAGTAAATTGTCAGAATTTGTGCCCAATCCCTTTGATTTTTTTTTTATCAATAAAATATGTTTTAATAATCATGAGTAGACTAAAATCTATGACTGTAAGTCATTCAAAAGAACATGTTAAAAGATTTAACGTATTTGACCATTGTGAGCTTGAAAGCCTAACAAGGTCATTAAGTTGAATAGCCCTTCATCTCAGCATGCAACCTGGCGAATATCACCACCATAGATTGTTTGTTAATTGAGATAAAGGTTTATACACATTTGGCTATATGTGACCTTGAAATTAAAGAGGGTCAAGATCATCCACATGAACAAACTTGATAGCTCATCAACCGAGCATTTTGCTAGCAATACATAACCAGATCCTATGCTTTTTGGTTATTCAGAAGAAGTTGTTTGAAAGTTTTTCAACACAATTGAAGCTTATATTATCTGAAATATTGGTGAAGGTCATTAATTAGATCAATCAAACTCAGTATGTATCAACATGGCCTGGAGGGATATGCATGCACGTCCTGCAGACATTATACGAACCCCGCCCCACCACTCCATGCCAATAGCATGACACAGCTAGATGGGCAGAACGCTGATTCGTCCGCCAACTATGGGTCAGCCCACAGGGGCTCGCTACAAATGACCGAGACACACATATGCCACACCAATAGGGTTACAGCGCACATACATGTATATATATACACGCTTATCATGTCACATGTGTGTTGTGACCCACACCGGAATAGCACACGTGCACCGTGGCCAGACGTAGACGCCCTCGCTGCTTAGAACATGATGTAGAATATGACAACTTGCACATAAATATATACATACATAAATATACTACTTACAAATGGCATTTGATAGAAAACTACCTTTCTATCATTGACACTGATCGCGTCCATGTGGTTTCCGAATGCGGCAAACGGCAGTTGTGCACGGTAAAGCACCTAATCGGTAGCCGCAGTTGCGTATTTTTTAACCGGAAATGGAAGTATGTGAAAGTGAAAGTAGAAGTTAATTGTCACCAAATATACGACTAGTTGTAGCGGGATTTACATTTCACAACGGAAGGACAATTATTCCTGTATTTATAACTTACTGTTTAGTCAAATTAGCTAAAATTTCAACAATTGTCTACTTCAGACCCAGATATGTTCAAAACCTCCTCAAGGATGGAAATATCCTGATGTGCTTAATCACAATGTGAATTTCACAACCCCTGGGGTACCCATTCCGGACAAAATTCCCTGCTATACATGTGTAATATTTGTTTTTGTCATATCACAACAACAAATAACAATTGTATTACATCTTAGGTGACCTGTTAGGCCCATGGGGCTCTTGTTTTAATGTGCTGTATTAGTTGGATGTGTTGATATTGGCTTCCAATAATAACTCCCCTACTTACCTATAATTAGATATGTCCTATTCTTAAGTGTGCAGCAAAATATAAATATACTGTGATGCCCATTTAATTTATATAATACCTTCCATTGTGTATATAAATATGTACCTGGTAGTATTTGACATGTCCCTATAGGTTGTAAGTTATGGAATTATGCACTATAGAAATATTCAAATTTCAAATATTTTATTATGGATGGAGTGTCAGTGCTATATATTTTTTTTAAAAAAAAGACTGTTTAAAACAATTGATTCTCAAACAGAATTTGTTCTGTGTCAAAACAAATATATCTGTTTTTGGGCTGAAATATCTATCCTGGATATTATTATTAAGAAGAGTTATGCAATTTACTTATCCACAAGTTTTTGAGTCTTGAGCCCAAATTTTAAGTACATGTTGATATGTAAACATACATTCAGTTGTACATATTCATGATAAAAAATTGCATATAAAATATATTTTATTGTGATTTTTTTCTTTGACTTCAAATTAACCTAGAGAGGTCAAGTTAGATTAAATGTAAAAATAAGCAGTTCATCTTCTGGGTATAATAAATTGTATTTCAGAACGAGGTTCTGGTTGAACGAGACTACCGCGCACAGCTGCCGTTTGCCTAGTCTCGTTCAACCAGACGCTTGATCACTTGTAATTCAAGAATCTGGTCAAACACAGTACTTTAAAAATACCATCACCAGAGGGCAGTTTTTTACTTTCGTTTCCGGACGTTATGTCAACGCCATTAAACATTTCAATGAATAATGAAATTAATGAAAAAAATTACCTATTAAACATTTCAATGAATAATGAAATTAATGAAACAAAATACCTATACATGCATTCCTGAAGTACCCGTGTATTCACTTTTATCGAGAACAATGTAAGAAAATGAGTAAAATCTCCAGAATAATGCCATATATTTCCATTGAATAAATCATAACTAAGCACAAAGCCAACAAGGCTGACTGAAGTTGGAAAAAGCATGCAAAGCAAGTGAAATTTTTCCTGTACACCATTCAAAACACCTTCAAGATCTCACTCAGGTTGTGCTGGGCGTTTTTAATACAGTATCACATAACAATATGCTTTCTCCTTCCAGTATGCAGGGAAGCGATCGACAAAGTGGAGTTGCAGCATCCGGTCCAAGATCGCGCTGTCATGCCACCGTGCATCAGGTTTGGGACGCCTTCACTCGAGGAGAGCAGCCTCACGTTCATGCAGGAGACTTGAAGCTGGACCACAGAGCCAAGATGAGTGTGAAGGTAAATGCCAGAGAAAATTAGATTTTTTAATGAGATGAAGTACCGATCTACAAGATCTATATAAGCACTCTATACACATGTCTGATTGTTTCTATTTAGGTAATTCATTACTTATTTTGTTTGTTTTCATTCAACAGGTGAAGCAACAGTCTACCTCGAACGTCTTCCGTTGAGCGATGTCCATTGTGGAAGAGCGCATCGCCGACCACATCCCTCCAGAGGACCGATTCCTGGCGCCCAAGAGGCACCTGATGAAGAGGGTCGCCAACCGGTACAGAGCGAAGTTCCGACCACAGGAGCCAAAATCCCTAGACTTTGTTGTAAGTATATACTGTATAAGTGTGATTAAGACGTGCAATAGTATAAGTATTATAAGTATATACAAATTTGAAATTTCACTTTGACACAAATACACAAATTAATTATTACATATTGATTGTAGGTTGACCAGGGCTACCTCCACTCCGAGGAGTTCCCCATCGAGGACATCAGCATTGACATTGAGCGACATCTTCGATTTGCCACCACCTTTCAGATGAGCGTGCTCCGCCAGACTAAGACCTGGTACATGGAGGGAACATTTAAGGTAAACTATCTAACTAGTAACTATAGTACATGATTTTACCGGTCATCCCAGCGCATACAGGTATATAATGTAAATTATTCCAGCCTTTTGTAAAATAACTAATTATATATACATTGTTTTATAGGTCGTACTTGCAGCCTTCCGACTCTCTGGGCAGTTGATGTCCATCCACGCATTTGTACAGCAGGACGGGCAACGGAAGCAGTTTCCATTGCTGTTCGTTCTGATGTCGAGGAAGAGGAAGCGGGACTACGTTGATGTATGTATTATTGGCAAACATCAACGTATATTGGTAACAAACGATTAATGCTCAAAGAAATATAACTGAATGGTCAATGCTGTCGAATAACATAATCAAATGATTTACGTAGGACACACACATACATTACTTATCACTTATTTTATCTTCGGTGTTGAGCGTCCTCAGGCGCCACCTCGGTGTTGACGTCCTGGATCAGTTTGTATTGGACTTTGAGAGAGGTTAGTATAATAGGATAATACATGGCAACATATTTAATTTCTTCTTGCAAAGTTAAAAAATATATATTAACCATTGGTCTATACTTTAAGATGCCTGTTTGAGAATCCTTAAATATTTTTATTATATTTACAGCTTCTTGGTTGGCCATACAGGAGGTTTTTCCTGCCGTGACCGTGAAGGGCTGCCTTTTTCACTGGACGCAGGCAGTCTAGAGACATGTTCAGGAACTTCGCCTCGTCCCCACCTATAGACAACGCCAGCAGTCCCACGAATACATTCGCCATCTACTTGCCCTCCCGTTCTTGACATCATTACACATCGGGGATACATTCCTGGCCCTCCATCGCCGCGCAGCAACCCCGGAACTGGTCCGACTGGTGGAGTACATCAAGCGTCAGTGGTTAGACGACGATGTATTCACCCCAGCTTCTTAGACTGTCTTCCGACAGAGTGTCCGCACCAACAATGACGTTGAAGGTACGTTATAAAAATGCTGTAGGACGTGCACATGTTTGATAAAACCATATAGTGCAATGTATATTTAATTTTCATCTTTGTTTTCATTTAGGCTGGCACCATCGCCTCAAAGTTAAGGCGGGACATGGGACGTCACTCTTTTACAGACTGGTTCCCGGGACTTCTGGTTAGAAAGGCAACCATTGTTGAGACCAGCGTTGCTGCGGAGGACTTCTCAAGGGACAACGGTGTCGTTTACAGCCGGATGGAGAAACAACTGACCGCCGCCACCGACAGCCAAATGACGGATGGGCTATCTACAACAGCGTTCTTGCGGAGATGTGCCGCGTTGTATACGTGCCGGTTGGACGGGACAGAGGAGGATGAGGCTAGAGACGAGTGAGATGTGTTTTTTCTGTGAGACCAATTCGAACAATGTGTTTTTGTTGTTGTATGTTGCATTTAATTGTGGTTCGTATAAGTAGTGTATTAGTGTTTTTTGTTAATTAAGTCATAACGTTATACTGTGATACAATTTGTGATTTTAGTGCTTTAGTTTTTTGTCAGTGAGTAAGTGGTACCAGAGTAGTGTACGTATTGTGCAAGTAGTGCTAAAAGTTTGTTAGGTTAAGTGTTTTTGTATAAGTGTGTAAGAATTTTATTACTTAGTGTTGTGTCTTACATGAATATGTGTTGCTTATATAAAAAGGGAAATGGATCAAGAAATCCAAACGAAAATAAAATTAATAATCTTCCACTTGAAAACAAAAAATGCAGAAAAATACAAACAAACATAAAAAAAAAAAGTTTGGCAAAGGGTGATATTGCATCATCAAATCCTAGTCACACCTCCTTGTGAATCCAGCTGGAAACACTTTATCCAAATATGTTTGATATAAAGTGGCTGACGTGACAGGGTGTTTTTTAATTGTTTATATCATGTTAGAAGTTGTATAAGTATTACTATTTAACATTTTTAACGTTAAAACATGTACAACTGCATTTTATAAAGAACAACATTACTGGTTGTAATGTGTAGTATATTCCGGATATTAGTTTTTCCGTTGTCGGCTTCGGTGATGAATATACAGGTTCGTTCTTCATCTTCCGGCACGTAATTATATCTTGATTTAAGAGAAAGATAAGGTTTTTTTAACTTTTAACATGATATTTATGACTTAAAGAAAAAAATATTTTTTTACAGCGAAACAACCTGGGGCGAACGGGATTTGGGGCGAAACAACCCGTTACCCGATTGACCGATATGTATATATAAGAGTAAAGAGCCCCAAGATGGGCGAAAGCGCTAGCCGATTATACTTGTCTTCGTGTTTTGTTTTATTTATTTTTTTACCGTCACATGGACATTTAAAACTATTTATCGCTTAGAGTGTATGTGTAAGTTACATACTTTCAGCAGCAGAAATGACGAAAATCCACATGAATCTGGTCAGCTCACTCTGATCACTCTAAAAATTCTGATCTTTTAAGAAATTGTATCAATGTACTTTCTGTAAAAGTCCATCTTAAGAGTTTTGTATGCAGCCAAATTTGTGCATATTGAATGAGATTGCTTCGATCTGATGGTTTCTGAATGATGTATTAATCTTTTTGAAATAGTTACATATTTTTATGTTATTTGCCTTGGATTTACTTTCTACCTTTCTGCCAATATCCCCGCTCAAGATTGATGCTCAGCGTGATTAAAACATTATGGACGTGTTTGTTTGTTTGGAGTTTAACGTCCTCACAACAGCCACGCTCATATGAGGACGGATTTCATGAGAATGCTGTAATTGATTGATTGATGGTTTTTATCTCGCCGCCACGAAGTAGCGGAAACTATAAGTGTTGCTTTTCCGGCAACGGCGGCGGTGTTAACGTTACGTGTTTGCGTTTAAGTTAGTTTCACTCAAAGTATAAGTGCTACACCAACCAAACTTGGACCATATATCGTTTCAGGTAGTACATCTCAGCCCATGCATCAAATGCTGGATGCGGCCTACCTTTGACTTTGTCAGAATTTCCATCAACATTAAGTTTTTGCGTTTTAGTTAGTTTCTCTGAAACTATAAGTGCTACACCAACCAAACCTGACATGTGCATTGATGGTCAAAGCGAGGCACAGGCGAGACAGCAATCCGAATGGCTTTGTTACAAACTTGAGTCACGATTTGTACCGTGCAACTACACAGGGGCACAATCATATGTCAGTCTAAAAGACAATTCTTTTGAAAAGAACGAACCAAAAGCAGAGACGTCATGGTGATGTATACCTGACTGTCAAAATGAAGGATTTTGAAAGCTGTTTTATATATTACCCAGTCCTTGATAATCATTGCATAAATGAATCTTCTGTAGAATAAAAGAAATGAGCAGCTTAAAATAGCATATATTTTCTTTTGTTGTACCGATATTGTATATACCTCCACCAAAACTTTTAATAGGCATATTTTGTCGACCAAATTTTCTGTTCGTTCGATTTGTGATAAGCTTCGCATCATCAGAACACTGCATCCTCACACCTTATTTTGACAACGTGTGACACCCATGGAAAGACAGAATATCAAACATAGCTCATATACTTGGCATTGTAATGGGTCATTGGAATCTGCTACGTTGTGACTATTCACCGTATGGTTGTTGTCATGTAAAAATAGAAAACAAATATTGGCATGACACTATTTATTTGATAATTAAAACTATTCAAATACAATAGACGGAAGCCATACCACCAGCGCAAGCGCCAGTGGTCTTCGTCTTGTCCAGAACGGAATTACGAATGCACATCCGGAAGTCTGACTCCCATCCGGTACATCCAATGTCTGACATCCACACTACGGGGTTATTCAGGTTTGCTCCTTGTACGGTTGAAGTGGGTATCGTGAACCCCATACGGTAGCCGTACTGGCGACAGTACACTCGAGCGTCCTTATAGTCCCAGCCCCTGGCACACACTGTCCCATTCATACCGTACATCTGTATAACCAGACTGGACGGAAATGTGGTGGGAGGGTGTACACGGATATCTAAATGAAAAGTTATTGTCAACTTAGTGTCCTTACTTTTAATTAGCTTCATATAGATTCGTAGCACAAAATGCACCTGTAGAGTCTACTCTGTATCATGTTTACAAGATATTTCTGAAATCCGTTTTGATAGATAGTACTTATTATTATCAAATTAGCAATTAAATACACCCGAAAGTTACACATACACAAAGTAAATAAATAGTCTTCTGCGAAGCTGGCATTGAAGGTTTCATCGTTATTAAGATTGGGATCAAAAGTTAACATCGCGAAGAAGACTTTCGCTGTTCTTTTTCCATTTTGGAGTAATTTCATTTCTCTCATACATGTTTACGGAATGTGGATGTAAATAGTTTCTTTGTTATATTTATTTACTTTGTTGTTTGGTTTTAAAAATTAAAAAAAAAGGAAAAACCCTTCAAACTTGGCCAATTAATTCAAATCTGTTGAGCACAATATTTACGATAGTTATATTAGTTTAATGAGTTACTCCTGGCCGTGACACCAGACTTTGTCCCCAACGCCAGATTTAGACGTTTGCTATAGGTATGTCTAGACATCTACCTGTTAAAACGTCATTTATCCGACCAAATAAAAGTTTGGCGCGCTTGCACACACAAACATCTAACAACGTTCCTATAAGGCGTACCTGGATTTGCGTTACCCTGGAGACAAAGGACCGAGGCGTAAGCGGCCGGATAGAACGGAGCTGTTCTAGATCTACAGCTGGCTGTCTCGTTAAACTGGCAGTTTCTCAGACTTGTGCCATTTGCCGGACAGTTCATTTGAAGAAAGAATATTTTGAACTTGTTGTCAACTCTTATTGGTTCGCTGATAAGTGGAACACCTACAGGGAATCCTAGTTCTTTACAAACCATCTCGGCATCATAGGGCCCGAAATCCTGATCACAAACATGGTACCATCGTTTATTGTGAAAGACCAAGACATTTCCGGTCGTTCCCATGGCGCTGCTTTGTGTCGAGGCAAGGAATGCTGAGGGAGCAAGTTCATTAATTGAATAGTATAATTACTGTCTAACTTACGTTAAGGCTTGAGTTTCACTATGATCAATTACTGTGGGTGATGTAATGAAGAAGCCATGAGAACAATGTACTAAATCTTTCATTTAGAACCTGTTTCTAAGACCGTCTCTATTCATCAACTCTAGCACTTAACGTATTAAAACTTTTGGGAGAGATTTGGATGTGTCTGCAAAAACAGTGATAATGACCGTGGTCGACATTTATCAATTTATTTTATTTATTAGCATCAGGCGTCTCTGACGTATTGGTTGGGAGATACAGAAGACCTAATTATTCCTCCAACCTTCTAGGATATAGTTAGGTTAACGCAAAGAACATAAAACACAATTATCATTTACCACTGAATTAACATTCAAAGAGAAAATAGAAACGCGATACAAAAGCAAAGCTGCAGGAACCGAGAAGAAAACGAAACAGAAGGGAAGACATTGTGAGTTCCCACAAACTCCCACGGAGCAGAAATCGGATGTCCTGGAAGGGTACGAGTCTATCCTATTACACTACTCTTAACTTTTCATACCATGTTCATAGCATTCTACTCCAGCAAAGTTGTTTGGACCAGAACAAGATGCACTATTTCGGTTGTTGGACCAGCCATCGTTTTTACATTCGAAAATACTTCTCTCTCCTTTAGCACATTGTACGTTTGACATGAACGTAGTATTGTAGGGGGCTTCCAATCCTCTGGAATGGAGACAGTTATCGAAATATTTATATACAAACCAGATCAAGTTGAACTGTTTTGATTAAAATAATCATAATTATGTTTATTTCAATTGCATTGTTGAAACTGCTTTGAGTAAAATATTCATAACTATGTTTATTTCATGTATTGATGAAATGCTGCGAGCAAAAAAATATCATTATGTTTATTTCAATGGAAAACGTTTAATTAATCATAAGTATGTTTAGTTCAATTGTACACAAAAATGTGGCATGTTATCAAAGGAAATTGTAAATTTTCATTATCAAAATTAAAAAAACCCAGCAACGGACGATAATGTTTACTTTTGAAGATTGCATGCCAATCATATTAGTAATTATATATTTTATATATATTAAATCAAATATCTGTGATATAAATTTTAATTGAGAGAGAGAAACTTGATTCATATATTTCGTACGTTATATTTAATATGATGTTTATTGAATTGAAAAGGAATTTTCTTTTGTGGTATGATAAGGAAACATTTGTTTTAAAAAATAAAAACCATAATTACCGTATGTTATCCCCGTCCGCGTACCCCAGCTGTTGACAGGCAACCCTAGCGTCTATAACGTCCCACTCTGTGTCACATATGCCTCCTTTCTGGCCGTCCATCTCTATCTCTAGCCGACCGACACGTGGTCTGTCCTCAATAAGTCGAAGTACTGGGGCTGGTAATATAGATTGTGTCCTACCTTTTACTGACTACTAGTCCAAATGTTTTGTAGTTAAGCATTTTGACGTGTCGTGTAATAAAGCAATTGAACACCAAACCGTATAGCATCTATAAATGTTTGTCCTTCACACTCATTATTAGAAAAATAAAGATGTGAAAAATTGTATTTGTTTTTATAACGCAACTGTCATGTTGTGCAGTGCATACTTCTATGCCATATTTTCAAAATTCTATCTCATGTATGAAGACCAATACTGTGACGTCATAACCTTCAAAATTGCACTGTGAGGTCACAAAAAGACAACGTGATGACGTTTGATGGTCTGAATTTGTTTTGTATACATTCTTCTAGCTGTGCTTTACATTATCTCGGTATTACATTTTCACTTTATATTACAATTTTAAAATAGTTTCGAATAATTCTTTTCTCAGCTTTTATATTTTCAAAATGAAAAACACAAAAATCCGGACTCGTTTTATATCCTTGTAGGAGATGGGACGAAGTCTTGATCTTACATATGTTTTACATATATCATGATACACTACTTACCTTTTCGTTGGTGGCAAAGAACCCCAGCGACCTTGATGTTCTTGTCGTTGTAAACACAACCCTTTTCCTGTCGGTTACAATCACTTAGTCGCCTTTCCGTCCCCAAACAGTTCACTGATCCCAGTACATAAGGTCCCATGGAAGAATTACTGGGAAATGCATACGGCACTCCACCTGAAGATTGCATATAGATACAATTCAGAATATTTCTATCTCGCATTAATAAAAAATGCATTCTATCAACATGTTCAGGTAGTTCGGACATTTGGACCTGACACCTTCTATAATCTTTATAGGATGAATTGCGATTACTCTTCAGAAACAAATATGCTAATACTAATAATGTTGAAAATAAAGATAGTAATTAATACCATTTGTACTTTACTAGTTAATTGCAAATTATATCTTTGTAATGCTTCACTTAAAAATTACTTCACAAATAAATCGTTTGTGACATAACAATGATTCATTTGATTGTAAATTTATCAATATAAATATAATATCTTTATTGATTTGATATCCATTGCGTTGTATTTTAGTCATTTTCAAATGTTTTTGATTACAGTTAACTTTCGATCATTAAACAGGACACCTTTCTTACCTGCATATCCCAGTTGTCTGCACACGACACCAGCGTCCTCATCATCCCAGGTGGAGCCACATACACTTCCCCAGATCCCCGCTGTGTTGGTCATCACCAAACCCGAGTTTTGGCCCCCTAGCAGTCTCACGTCATTACCTGGCGAAAGGAAATTGATCGAAAACATTGTTTATGTATATTTGTTATAACTAGTCACATGAAGCGTTGGATTCATATATATAAAAAACGATTTTTTATATTATATAAANTATATATATATATGGTTTGAAACAAATAGTAACCAATATCTTTTTGTTACAGAGTCGTTGATGAAGCTGAATGCGCTTACCCTTCGGAACACAGGATCTTAATAATTTTAGTTTCAAAGCAGTGTTATTGACACGTCAATATTCTCTTGTTCTTTATTTCCAGATTGTATACTGAATTGCCGCCATCTCAAGTGAACAACAGTCCCCGTATTTGTAATTAGACAGATTTTCTCTACCCGGACTCCTATTCAAAATGAATGACCGCTTCGTAGTTGATTGCTTGGTCCTAATTCTGCTATTTGCTTATACCTCAGTACTTTCTTGTTGTGTTTGATGCAATCATTTGATTCCACATATAGTTTAATGAAGCATTACAAAATTAGATATAAACGTTGTATAGTTTCAGTTTTTGGAGTGCCGATAGTTTTGGAATACATCGTAAAATATTTTCATATGGGAATATCGCAGTGTCATTTCGTTTACTACAGTATTTGTTTCTGTGTTCTGATGTAGTACAGTACAGTTCTTTCGTATTATTGCGATTTATATTCTTAATATTGTTGATGCATCCCTTATTGGTATCCCTGCAACCATAAATCACATAAAACTTCTCTTTCTCATCAAAACCTTTGTTTCGCTTTTGTTTCATAAGAATATAACTTGTTCTAATGCCGCCTTGTATAGGTGAACGTGTCACCAATTCTCTACTGTATACATGCAAGTCACTAATGCATGTTTTGTATGGGTCATTCGCACCAATTTGTAATAAAGGGAAAATTTGTTCAAGAGCACATTGACATTAATTCCTTCTGGATTAATGTGATGCAACGAAATTCTGTATGGATTTCCAATACCTACCTCCTAGTATTGGCATATTAGAGCAGACGACCGCTCCATAGTTGTACGGAAACTGGTTACACGTGTTAGAGGACGTGCACTGTCTGATGGAGAGCTCTGAACCCGAGCACAAAATGTCTCCTTGAATATACTTGGTGTGAACGTCATCAACTTTGCCGTAAGTGCCTATTGACATATCACGGCCGTGCTGGTACCCAAGCTCGCGACATACGACGACAGCGGCGTTCCTGTCGAATCCGTCTCCACACTGGACTCCCCAGGTCTTGTTGTCATCTAGGACGTACACGATACCGTGGTTAGGTCCTCCATTCTCCAGTCGGACTGTAACACAAGATATCAGGTGAAATCACGTATTTCATTTTCACTTGTGAAATACGCATAAAATGGCCATTAGGAAAGAAATATTATGCGCAGAAAAATTAATAGAAATGAAATAGGAATAAGTTATTGTGCAATGATTGTGAAATGATGCTAAAAAAAGCCCGGCGAAATCAATGTCGTTTGAAAACGATGCGCGTTCAATTTAGTAACGCGCTTGCCCTATTATAATTAACGCGTTCACTCTTTGTCGAAAGGAAAGCGCTGGCTTTAATTGATTCTCGAGGAATAAATACAATTGCTTTTGTCATATACGTATGCAATAATCAAAGAACACCTTGCTAAATTCGTTTTCAGGACTTGGATTATCCTGATAAATGTATATATATAATTAGTCATAGGCGCTAATGTTTAAAAGCTGAGTAACTGTATTTTTTTCTTTAAACCAGAAAAATCGTTATTAATACGTTTCAAGCAGTCAAACAGATCTAGCTGCATACATACGTGAATACTGTGGGAATGTGAACCTATATTAACTCTTCCTGCTAAATGGAAACACCGTTGGCATCAACTTTTACTAAGATGCTACACTGCTGATATGTTTCAATAATATGATGCAGAAACTTTAGATTGTCAACAAGAAATAAACCACACTAGTTCATGTACAAAAGTTACAATATATTAAGGTTATGTTTTTGTATTAAACGTCAACATTGGATTTTACCTATGTCGTTATGGCACGTGACTGCCGCGTCTTCGGTGTGCACACAGTTGTTTACGCCCCATTTCGCATGCGGACAGGAAGCCAGATTACTTTCCTGTCCATTACATTTGACGTCATCTAGAAAAATCGGACCTTTACCGATACCGTAGAGGTACCGCGCCCTTTTTGCCTTCAAAGAAAAATGTTTGTTATTTAATCTCTTGTATCATATGCGCCTAGTAATTTCTCCTCTAAAATAAAAATAAAATATTAATTAAAAGGAGGAAACCTATTGTGTTCAACCTTGCTTATGTTGAGCTATAGCTACATATCTCGGTTTCAGTGAAAAAATAAGTAGAAAATAAAAAATATTTAAGACAATGCTATTTAAAAAGTAAACATATTTTGGTAGAACCTATTATGAAAAATGAAATGTATTTTGAATACTGATATATGAACAAACAAACATTCAAATAAACGTCAACAACGCATATAACTGTGATACGGAAATATCATTTAGAAATAATCATGTTATCTGAAAATTTAATATGGAATTTACCGCTCCCCACTTATACCCAATCTCACGGCAGACCACGTGGGCGTTGTAATCCGACCAACCATCATTGCATACGGTACCCCACGTGACTCCATCCTGAGACACCTCCACCCTCCCCTCGTGCGCATTGCCTCCGGCTAGTCTCAGAAACATTGCTGAAATAGACATACATAGGTACTATACATACATACTATACATGGTATAGTATTGATATATCTTTCGAATAACATACCTGTACGTTTGTAGAAATATAGATATCATACATAATATCAGTTATTTTGATACCATCATTTCATTCAAAGGAAACGCTTTTCTGTCAGAGAACCTGGGTACTGCCTCGTTTTATAGAGGTTCACTGTACCTTTCACTTTTTGTATCGTCCGTTCCTGTTTTTATCTTGACATTGAGTTTAAACTGTTCTTGTGTTGAAGATAAACGGTACATTACATTTCCAACTTTTTATCGATAAAATTAATATATAAATATACAACATTTGATATAGCACCATATCTAGCTAGAATAAGCCACCCTAAAGCGCTTTACAGTACAATTTATAAAATCAATACAATTAGCATATAGATTAATCGATACAATTTTGAGGAATTCGCAGGAGCTGCTTATCAGGCGCTAATTACTAGTCCTATGCCACCTGGATAATATCTCCCTATGTATGATGCCTGCGTGTGTGCTGGATAGGTATTGTGTTCTGTTTGTAGTGGGACCGTGCTTCCAACGGTATCATTTATAGTGCCCCCTCACTTGAATGCTACAGCACAGATACCGCAACATCCACCCCAGACTATTTTGTACTCCACCTGGATTATTGGAGTTGTGACCGATAAACTTCCCTTATTTTTGTGTTATTTTATGAAACATAAAATCTATGATTTCAATTACAGTCTTTCCTTAGTTTTCTATAAGAGTGAAACTATTTAAAATATTAACAAATAGTTAACTGAATAAGAACGAAAGATGAACGTAACACGTGCTCGCACCTTTTAAACTTCAGTAATAGATCATACAGTATGCCTGAAAGGCGTTACAATGCACCACACATCTGTTTCGTCTAAAACTCATCGGTGATACATTGAGCCAAAAAGAAACAGAAAAAGAGATGCATAAATCCCTTAATTTTATGACTTTCAAAATTTAGTAAAGTACTGTTTATTGTAAATTAGTTATTGAGTAAATTAAAGTGAATATATTTATTTATGCATTTGTATGTTTACCGTTTACAAGGTAGAAAGGTTATACGGTACAATTTGTAATAAATAACAATTTGTAATAAATATAACACTTAAAAAGTCTACGATGATTGTTTAATCTGCATTTCTGTATCAGCATATAGAACTGTATATAGTATGAGTATCTGTAGACTGAATGGATTGTATTATATATATAATATATAAGTTATCTGACCTACTCATTATTCATATCACATAATTCATTGTGTGACGTTAACCAAGTCATTAGCACAATTAAAAAAACTGTCCATGTACGACTGTATGTGAATCTCACTGAACATTATGATCTACGGAGCTTTCAACATATGTGACGTCATAATTTGTAAAAACAACCTCAAATGATGTATATAGCCCATAAAATACTACGCTTTTTGTAATGTTTCATCAAACATGAAATAAAAAGCTGATTTATCTTTAACTTACCTGTTGTGGTGTAAACAAGTGACAGCAGTATAAGGGATTGTATGGTTCTATTCGTCATGGTGGCTGGTCTTTTCTTTGTTCTCGTTTAGCTGTTTAATTCTGTGGTCGATGGGATACGTCTTGAATAAAACGAAATAAAATCAGATAATACACGATTAATTACTGTAACAAAGCATATGTAAACGAGTTGTTTATATATCATTGCATAAGGAATCGTGATATAAATAACAAATGATATAATAAGATATTGAGACAATTTTTGATGAACTATAATCATATGTAACTTGTATCATGCATTTTTATTTTATTTGTTATATTGTCAAGAATTATTGACAGAACTCATATTTTTGCTCTATTGATGAAATAGTTCATGGAATTCAATACTTTAGTAAACAGTAAAAAAATCAGATAATATTCAACATTCCGTAGTGGCAACGACGACATTTTCCTCTATATCATATTATAATATACTGCAATAAGTACGATCACCGGTGCAAAGAAACTTTACACTTAACCGATGATTTAGTAAATAATTAACGAAGCTTACTTACCTTTCTTGTCCAACAGTTCGATGGAGGCCAATTCTTCTCTAATTTCTAATCAAACAGACGCCATTGTGGAGTATATCATTACACCATACGTTTATAGTAATAATGATTAGAATATGATCACCGACCGATAAGTCCACAGCTGAGGACTGCCTCTGCTGGAGGGAACTTGTGATATAGTCCCCGTTGTATAAGCTCATTCACTCACTCAGTGGAACTTTCTTAATGTGAAGTCTTTTCCCGACTGAACATTGACTTCTATGAAAAGGTGCATGCCAATCAATTTTCGTTGGTACATTAAGAAGCACTGTAGTACAACTGTTTTTTTCTTTATGTTAAATGTTCGCTGACGTTTTGTCTGTAAACAGATAATTTTACTTGTAGTCTCATGATGGTTTCTGGTTTGTTTACGATTTGTGTTTATTGTTTTTTCTTTAATTCTATCTATGATTTATGTTTCAATAATAATTTCAATTTTAAAACTTCTGACTTAATTGCCAATCAATGCAAACAAAACGATAATCATATTTAAAGCACATCCACCAAAAAGTGAAACGAGGATGAATATGAAATTAAATGATGTTCTTTGTACAAACATGAACTATTTCTTATTAAAGGCATGGATGGCGTGGGTACAAATTCTTCAATTTATAATTATCAACTTCACGAACAAGCGCCTACAAAATGCAATTTCTTTATCCATATTACTGAACTTGGTCAACTATTTTTTGTTGAATTAAACGCAGGACACGATTACAAGTTGAAGTAACTACATAAGGTGAGGAAAAAACCTAGTAAATTAACATAATTCATAAATTTGTCATTCACATCAACAATGTTGATGTTCTTCATATCAACCAATGGAAACAGGTGAGTGTGTTTATTACCAATAAGACGTTCAATAACTAACCAAAATACATTACGGTGTAATTAGAACCAATACCTCAAAAACTAATATTTAATATTTATATTTAATATTTATATTTAATATTTATATTTATATTTAATATTTATATTCCCGACGAGTATGCCATATCTTTGTTTTAATTTAAAAATTTGGCGATAATGGCGGTAAAGAAATGGTGTCGTTTTGAGTTCCCTATACTATTGGATCGCCCATTTCTTGAAACGTGGAAATGATATCGTGTGGGGTCCCAGGGTGTGGGTAGTTGAAACATCTTCAACAGAAGGTCAGGGGTCGTCATTGTTTCATATATCTTACCTTGTTCGGAGTGTCACTCTTGTCGTTACATGGATTGCATTTCAAACTCTGGTGTACGAAACATGTACGGTGTACAATAACCGCCCAAGGGCTTACAGTTATTGCATTATGTTAACCTCACCATACACATAAATACAAATAATGTACAAGATGGTTGTGATCCTGTTATTTTTTGTTTAATAACCAACGGACATTTCAGAATATCTCCGGGTCTCGCATGTAAAACACGAAAATCCTATATATAATCGTATTAGGATATCTCATTAATTTCCCATTAAAAAAAATAACATGGTTGTTTTAAGATATGTTTATTTTGTGATATTATGCTACGATTTAAATATCAATCAAGCATCAGGATCGGTTTTTTTTTGAAGATTTGTCATATGAATTAATGATTAATTACATAGATGTCTTAATCAGCGTTGTTATCGATGACAAATGTAAAGCAGATGATACCAGGTTTAGATCTGGGGTTTAATGTGATTTTCTATCAGCTAATTTACACAAAAATACTGATGTCTCATTCAAAATCTTTCAAAAAATATATTTCAAAATAAAGAAATTGAAGATAAATAAAGCTGCTTCATGATATACATTTCACAAACAACAAGTAAACGTCACGCACAGGTGTTCGTCATTTTTTCAAACCTCCATGCATCAAAATGATGTATGCAGGTACCAGGCACCTCGATTTCGTTGGCTTGAATCCCATGCGTGCCATTGTAATGACTGTTTCAAACTTTTGCAAAGTCAAGTTGCCTACACAAATGTCTGTGTAGCTACTGTCATGTCTTCCCTGAAGGCTTTTGTTGGTGGTTGCCTTATGCCATATGCTAGACTGATTTCACTATCAAGTTCGCTGCTGTTAATACAAGATAGCTGCTATTCTACAGCCTGCTACCATCCCCACCTCCAACCGTTGCCATGATGTGGTGTTATCCTGCAAAATGAATTGCATATTGAAGATATTTTAGTACCCCTTCAGCATCCTTCGAATGAACTGATACAATAATAGGTACACACAAATTGTGATTTAAATGAAATAGATAACGACTAATGATAGTAATGTATCGCATGTACTTACATCGCAACAATTACATAACAAGTACCCATGACTGCATCGTCGGTATCCCATGGGTGACCTCACTTTCGCTCTCTGCATCCCTTGGTTATATTGTGAAAAGAATCGTGGTGTCAGCGTGCACCACCTTTGGATGATACAGGAAGACTCGTTTGTTTATGTACATTGAAACAACATCTCGATCACGTGACGCTAAAATTGACTAGCTTTGAAGTCGGGTGTTGCTCCTTTATACATATAATCTTCAAAACACATGTACCAGCCTAGCGATTGGTCAGGGCTTTTTTTTTATCCGAGACCAATCAAATAGCTAGCCGCGTGCCATTAATTTTCCTATGACATATTCCAGGGGTGAAGAGAGCGGCAGAGAGCGTATCTCCTGAAGTATCGAGGATACAATGCCTCATAGGACTGGAGACGGAGCTTTTACCACAAGCAAAATTCCAATGAAAAAGTGTTATCTGCGGGTAGTATGGAGGAATGGGTGTATATTAGGATCATCCGACAATAATGCCTCTGCAGTTCCCTGTATGGTGCAGTAGTTTCTCTCTCTTTTCAATCCGATCAGTGTGATTCTTTTGAGTGAGTATTTTTCTTGTTTAAAGAAGGCGATGCTCCCGGGGATTGCAATTACACATGTATATAAAATACAATATATCCTTTTTCTTTCTTGATCATTTTTATGCAAGACCTCGCGTAATTGCTTTCTCATTGGTTACTATTTACAAATTGTTAACATTACTTGTAGTGTTGAGCGACAGCCAGGGTTATGATGGTGTACACATGTTTAAGCGACACAATCGCGGTTCTTGTTTCCATCTGAAATGAGTTTGTTTGGGTTTAGTGTGACATCACCAATCGAACAAATTTGAATGAAAGAATTGTTTAAAACGATTTATTGCCGACATACAATGCCTAAAATGTGCCATGGATAACTAGCTGCGGGAACCGTAGCTTCTAGGCCCGATCTTTTATCTTTTTTTTTTTATTATTATTATTAATCGTACTGATTATAAAAAATAAATAAATAAAAAAAACGATCGGGCTTAGAAGCTCTTGTTTATATCAACAAGTAAATCAGGATTTGAGTCTCTTTTTCCAGAGCGTTGGATAAGCTTACAGGATCACACATTTACACGTGAGAAATGGTGTTATCGTCATTATCATTATACACATTACATTTTTTAAATACGGATCCCTGAGGTACTCCTTTAAAGGGCCACTGTATGTCACTGGCTTTGGCCCGAAATAATTCCTCTGGAGACTTTTACTGACATTACTGTAAACAAGGTCCATTTGTTATGATGGACTGTCTGGACCGTGTGGCCACAGTTTATTCACCTACAGTCAATGAGTCAGTCTAGGACGGCCCTAACACATCTGTTGTTGCTAGAGCTTTCAGTAGTCGCTGCATGCAGAATAATCTGTACAGCACCGAAAGTCCTTCCTAAAAAGGATTAGAATGTGTATAAGACAGTACAGAGTTGAACATACAAGATCCTCTCAAAAACTTTATATATAGTGTAGCATAGATAACTATGTAGTCTATTTTTTCCCTTATTCAGAAGATTTTTTAATGAATATGGATACAAAAATGTAAACCCGGTCTGTTTCAACCTGTCAGGAGATCCTTTGAAATACAGAAAACACTAGATTTGCAAAAGGTTAAGAATCTTGGCAGAATGTCTGTCATATACACCAGTGATTTGTTTTAATGAGATCGTTTGTAACTGGTGCAGGTATAGATTTATTTGAAAGAAAATGTGTGATCGTAACCTTCACGTTCTTAGGCAAATTGAAGATGCAGCTGGTCCGAAAAAAATCCTACACGCGTAATGTAGTTTCACATTAACCCACGTTTAATATCCGTGTCATATTAAGGTTGTATTGCCTGCAATACATGTACTTGTCATAATGGGTGGGAGGGTTTTAATAATGAATGGGAGGGTTTTAATAATGAGTGGGAGGGTTTAAATAATGAGTGGGAGGGTTTAAAAAATGAGTGGGAGGGTTTTAATAATGAGTGGGAGGGTTTTAATAATGAACGGGAGGGTTTTAATAATGAGCAGGAGTTACGTTTTATTCATTTTATTTTTCAAACTGCTTTACGAATTTTACTTTTAAATACGGGTGTTGTGATTTTAGGGAATGTTTTCCTCGATAAGAAGTCATTCATGGGCAAACTCCCTTAACATGTGCCCATGTGACAAATATAACATCATGAGTATAGATTGCATCTCAATTACGACTCAATTTTTTCGGACAGTAACTATTTTTTAAAAACAATTCCAATTAAATTATGCCTGTCACCAATTTACTACAGCATACTGTACCTGTAATGCTTGTTTATATGAAACAGGCAACTTTTAATATTTGTCGGGTTTTTTATATGAAAATTGATACAAATAAATAAATATCAATGTACATTTATTCGAGATGGTCCAACCCAACTAAATAGTGGTGTACTACCATACGGTGTAGTCCGTTTGAGTTATGTCCCTTGCGTCATAGCTCTTCGTCTACTTTCGTTTCAGTGTGTGCATGCAATCAACACAGAAGATTTCAGAGCGATGGACGAACAACCGGTAGATCACGGCGATGGTGAGGCTTACTCGTGTATTTCTGTAACTATTTAACAACGATCAATACAAATATTTAAAATGCATCAACGAAAGAATTATTGTAATGCAACAAACCAACCTACATAGCGTAAACGTACAAAATTATGTAATTTTCAGGAGCCATATGCAGCAATTGTTCAAGATCGATAGTTTATCCTAGTAGACATAAATCAAAAGGTGTAAAAGTGTAAATACATGGAGGTGTTTGTATGTAGCCCGAATTTCCTCTGGTAGTGACTGAATCTCCATGAAATACTGAAGAAAATCAGAAACGAGTGCTGGAGGCTATATTTCTATACATTGTATGTACAATTATTGGTGTTTTGTTAATTTTCATTTTTGCAATTTTTTCATGACAGCATACTTCTCTTAGGTTAACAAATTTGCAATTCATCTGATTCTTTAGGTAAACATCCAGGCGATGGATAATTCTGCACGGGGTACAGGTGCATTTTTCGAGCATGTTTTGTACCATAAAGAAAACATGCAGTATACAAGACCATTGTGTGTAGGAGTAATGGAAATCTTTCATATCTGGCAGATTTAAATGTACAGAGATTGAGGGTTCGATACCCTGTAGAAGCACACTATTCTCTTTCGAGTGTTACAAATGGTGAATATGGCCCTCCCTGTGGTGACAGGGAGTTAGAACCTGGGTTGTGGTCAGGCTCGTAGCTACCATGTAAGCCAATAAGCCCGGGCTTGCACATAATTTTGACAAGTATAGGTTTTCATGACGTTTTTTTTCTTTCTTGCTGATACTATAAAATGGAGTTTAAGTTTTGAATATATAGTATACATATATAATTCCTCATTTATGATACATTGTTAATAGTTAGTACAAAAATGTATAAAGTTTAGAAATGTCCATTGCATTAATGGACAGTTCCAGGCGGAACTAAACTGCTCGATTGAGTAAATTGAGAAACTCACGCCCGGCGCAAACAACTCCATCTTCAGGGTCATGAGATATTTGAAGAGGAGATTAGGCGATGGACTGTGAGATGGAACATTCCAAACACCATTAAACCTGCTTCTTTGCAGGAAACGCTTCCACTAACTAACCGCGAGCTGTATGTACCCTTGTGTCTGGACGATGGTTGCAATACTTGTAACCATGCCAGTCTCCACATTGTCAGCAGAGCATTCATTCAGTTCGCGATGGACTGTGAGATGGAACATTCCAAACACCATTAAACCGGAGCGTCTTTCGTCATTGTCAATTCTCCATATTCACCGAGATATGCCAATTGACATTGATGCTGCGATAGAGGAGTTCCTTGCTGCCAAACGTAGGAAAGGACACTTTGGAATCTAAATAAATGACGAAAACTGTCTTCTGGAGCCTGCCAAATTACAACACAAAAGAATTTTTAAAAATCACGGTGCTTTGTATTATTTTACTTTGTCAGATTGCGCATAATAATACCTTCTATATTGGACGTATATAAAACTAAACTTTAATTTTCTTCCATGTCCACAAAATGTTTATGAAACCAGAAGACGAAACGGTGTAGGAGACTGCAAAGCTGGGCATGACGATGATAGTGGGGGCAAACTCGCTTCTCGACTTCCATGTCCAATAACAGGAGCAAGTATAAGGAACCAGTCACAAAGCACAAACAGAAGACGAAACTGTGTGGGAGACTGAGTAAAGGTGACAGTGGGGGTAACCTCACTTCACAATTAACTCGGATCAGATTCTGAGAAAGACAAACCCAATTGCATGTTCACTAATGCAGAAGTATCAAATGCATTTATCAAGATTAGGTAAAAACCAGACAATGTATGTATGGAGGGTGTACAAAGCAATACCGACGGTTAATCTTCTGAATTACACTGGATCCACATAAATAGGTATATATATATACAAAAAATAGGACTTTTTTCTTGCGGATTAAAACGAGAAAACATACATCAGGACGTGTGAAATGGCTCCTGAGACGTTCTAGAAAACAAAATGTTCATGGGGGAATGGGGGAGACCCCCCAGACCCCACTTAAAGGGAGGGGGAACACCCCCTCCCGTACCCTCCCCCTGCTCGCGCTTCGGGGGGGGGCTGCCTTCGACAACCCCATGTCAGGCTTACACATGGTAAAGGGGCTAGCTATGCGCCTGGTGGTGTTCGAGGGCGAACATATTTAAAAAGGGGGGAGTATTGTGGCAGGTTTTAATTGTACATACATGTACACTGTATAGGATTAAGGTTGGCTTAAGCTTCTAGCTTCGAGCTAGAGGGAATTTCCGTTTATTCCGGGGTAGAGCGTTCGACTATGAACCTGGAGATTGAGGGTTCGATCCCCGGAGGAAGCACACTATTCAATTTCCTGTTACACATATATAGGCCTATACTTGAATATCCAGATGTGATTTGAAGGGGAAGTCATTGATTAACGAGTTGATGTCATCATTGTAGCAGAAGAAAGTGTCCAGAAATTATCAGACTCGCAGCGTGCCCGCATTGAAAGAAATCGTCAGAGAGCTTTGATGCTGAAACAGACAAGATTATCAACGAGGCCATACACTACAGAGAAGCCAGGATCATCAGGGTAAATACACAATATTGACATGTTAACAAAAAGAGGTGGTCCGGAATTCTTCTAAATAGAAACACATTCCTGATCAGTACAGTTTGGTGATTAATCACTCCTGTGTAATTTTCATAATCTACAAAATGGCGTTACACAGGTGGGAAATTTTGAACAATTGATTATCAAGGACGGAATCTAGCTGTGATTTCTGATTATAAGAACGGTTTTGGTTAAATAAATAACAAGTTTATCGATATACATGTATGTGAGGTACATTTTATTATGTGTATTTAGTATAGCAGATTTTTGTTGTCAGCACCTCAAAACTTTTGGTGTCGGGGGTTCCACATTTTCATAATGTAGTGCGCTCTGGCTCAACACCAGACATCTTAAAATCTGTCAAAATGTCTTAGTCTGGTGTCAGAGCCAGAGGAAAGTCCAGCTACTTCTTTGGCTACTGATATGGATGGTATTTGAAGTGATTATATCATCTATTTGAATAAGTGATAAGCACCTTTGTGGACAGATGATATTACTCATTGGTTTTGATTGGTGATTCTGATCATTTGTTTGAATCAGTGTATCATAATGATGGGCAATCGTTTTAAAATCATAATCTATAATCAGTTCTAATTGGAGGTATAGTTAACCAGTTGATGATCCATTGTATAACTGGTTTATAATTTTGTATGGGACTGAATACCCAAATAAAGTGAGAGCACTACTGTTACATCAATAGACAGAATGGATTTCAAGCAATGTTTATGCAGTAAAATAGTAACATTCATAGGAATAAATGACTTTCATTGTATACATTTGACACTTTGATTTCAATAATGAACCAATTATATCGATTTTGGAATTTGTAATCGATTATCAGAATCAGAAAGGGAAAACTGTTCAATTTTTAATTATAATTGATCATCAGCCCATCACTAGTGTATCACCAATTTGGATTAGAAAGTGAAAATGCTCATTATTGCATGTACAGACATGTACATTACTACACCTGAATTTAACATCACATACCCAGATACTAACTATCTACAAGTAAACATTCTCTTCATTAGTTCTGTTAAATATGCATAAAAATTAAACATTGATACCTTTATCCTCCTTGAACTGTACATGTTTGTATAAACCACAATTTTCCTGTTTAATATTTAGATGCTGAGAAAAGGTCTTGACAAATTCATGGAATAACCTTTTTCGCCTTTTATACAGAGAAAAAGTAAAAGCACCCGCCAAGATAATCGATACTGGTGCTGGATTCTTCCTGGAGGAGGAAGAGGAGGGGGAACAAAAGACTCGAGCTAAAGTCAAGCATCAATTAGGTACTTATATATGTTTACATTGATAAACTATAAGAAAAAACTTGTATTAACATTTTTTGTTAGCACATATATATCAGTAATTTGCTTCTAGTAAAAGATAGCTATGCAACACACTTAAAACCTGGGTTATATTCAGAGGTGCAGAATGGAGGTCAGCAAAATTAAGCTCTCAACTAGACCACACTTGTTATATAAAAAAAATGTTTCACTTTTCATCCCTAAAAGACTAATCTTTACTAGTAAACTTTCTTACAATTGAGAGGGAAAACATGTTCAGCTATGATATAAAATTAGATTGGATTAATAAATGTGGTCAGATAAATTATGTCCCTTGTTTATTTCTGACAGGATTTTAAGTTAATACATGTCTGTATAATGTAGAACCAGTAGTATCATAATTTGATATGAATGTTTGATTTTCTGTATACAATCCCAAGAGGTCTGTCTTTTGAGATCAGTTGTATGTCAAGGGCATAAGGTCATGTTCAAGTTCACATCTACAATATTTTTACATGATGATTGGAGCATTTTCAACTAAGTTATAAAAAAACTCTTTCCATGTTTCTTAATACCATACCCTGCACTGCTTGTTATCACATGCACAGGTAAATTCCTACCCAATATAATTACAGAACTTACATAACTTGTTAAACATGTGAGGTCCACACCCAACTTTCATATGTATGTGTACATGTGTATACATACATATATTAAAAAAAATGAGTCTGGTGGAGAGGATCATATAGATCCTGTATTGGAAAATAAACTAAACTTAACTAAATTCAATTGCCCAAGATTTAGTAGATATGTACACAACACTATCAATGTGACTCCCACATTGGTGTTAGCGCGTGTATAAAGCACTGTTGGGTGGTGCGGTGGCGCAGTGGACACCACACTTGCCTTTCACCAAGGTGGCCTGTGTTCGATTCCCCAATCGGATGGAAATGGTATGATGTCACCTGCCCAACCACGTTGGTTTTCCTCAGGAACTAAGATTGTCTCTCACCTCAAGACCCCCCACTTGCTAACATCCGGGCCAACAAGAGTGATTAATATAAGTTGAAATAACTTGTTTCATAATTGTTGTAAAATAAGTAAGGATTTTTTTTTCAATTTCAATCCTGAGTGAACGCAAATCAATTACATACATATTCCTAGCGGGCTTCATGGTTAATATGTATATAATCAATTTGTGTTAATTCTGGCATAAACAGTGACAAAATGCTTTTCAATCCTTATATTTAGTTAATATTGACCTAAATATAGATACTCCCTTATATTTTTTCGATATTAAAGTATCATGTGGAAGATTAGCCTTTGGCTAAACATCTATTTTATCCTCAATAAATAAAGTTTATTATTATCTGTGTTGTCAGTGCAAACAAGATTCCTGGAACAACTAACATCATCAAAATGATTGATTCTAACAAGTTTATCATGTTATTTGAGGCAGGAGGAGAAGCTTCAAAAAGACACTGATCAAATTGCATTCATAGCTCTATGAATGCAGTTTCTCCTGGTAATGCTTACAGTGGAACTTGCAGTGGAAATGTAGATATATTGTATTAAGCTCTGTTTGCTAGCTGTACTGAAGTTTCGTGTGTTATTATATTTACCCAAACGATTAATACAACCAATATGGTGTTTTTACAGGTCCTGTGATTGGCGTAGAAAACCTTCTCTGTGACGGCTGTGAGAAGGAATTCATGGATTCATTCCTACACACAAACTTTGACGTGTCCATCTGTGATAAATGCAAGTAAGTACATGTATAAAGGATGTTCGTTGTTCTTAATGTAAAAGTAATTGTACTAGTCTCGACTAGAGGGAACATCCCTTGAACTCTGTGGTAATGAGCATCCCCTTGAAGAGTAAGGGTCACAGGCTAGATACAAAGCAAAAGTTCTTATTTTTTTATACTGCTTTGATCTAATTTCCTTCCTGTAAAAGATAGGTGCCATATTGACCCTTCCCATTTAAGGAAGTAAGGACCCCTTGGTGATGAGGTAATAAACGTGGGTTGTGGGGGGTTTTATTGATAAAAAAAGTTGTTGAGTATTGGTAGTGTAAATGATGTGCATTGTACATAGCACTTGACATCTTCTTACAAGCTTTGACTTGAGGGAAATTCCCTTTATCTCAGTAATAGGGAGTCTGTCTGGGGGGTCAGAGGTCGCTGGTTCAAATCTCAACCAAAGCTCATATTCTCTATCCTTTTTCCTTCCTGTTACACATGTACTACACATGCATGCTGTAGCCAATTATCCAGCTGCCTTTCACCTATTTAAGTTTTCCTATCAATATTACAAACAGTTATATCTGGATCTGTACAATGTAGGGCCTTCTCAGGCATAAACACAATGGGAGAGAGATTGCTAGAGGCCCTTAGTCGCACATAAAACCCTTGAGTGACTCTGCATGCACAACATTGTCTGGCAGCTGAGAATGAGATTTTATAGACAGGTGTGTTACAGTTTGTAGTTTTAAAACACCTAGAGTTGTCGGTTTCCTGGCCTTCTATGATGTTTTTGCGACACAGTCTGTCAACCGTTTGGCTCAGATGTTCGTTTCCCTCGGATTAGTGTTAAATAGTCCTGACAGTGCATGGCTGGCACCAGCCCCTTGACCACTTACGCTAGTCTGTCCTGCTTCCTTCTCTTTTGAAGTGGGGGCAGGCCACTTTGTAGGTCAGCACAAAAGCCAAAGGAAATACATTTGTAAGAAAACAGTGCATATGTAAAATTTATTCAATACTTTTAAAGTTTTTTTATAATCAAAATAGGAAAAAAAGAGTTGAAAAACATAATAGTTTGCTTCCTTTACAGTTGGTTTATAAAGCTTGAATCTTTTAAAGTTGACACATGTTTTGTTTTAATATATTTTAATAATATTTTGCTGTTTATTATAATGTATGATGATTTTTAGTAAAACCAGATATATACATACTGGTGATGAGGTCTCAAAAACTGAATACAATTTAATTTAATGTAACAGGTATTGAAAATTCATAATAATACATAATTTCATCGTTTTCATTTATTCAAAGAAATTCTAAAACATAAATCTGAAATATTTAGGACAAGAGAAAGCAATTTTTCCCTTTCAGTAAGTTTTTTCTATTACTGTTTAAAAATGTTTTTATTTTTTCGTTGACAGAGAAAGTGAAGACGACAATCCTCTCATTACCAAGACAGATGCTAAGAACAAATATCTGCTGAAAGATGCCGACTTTGACCGTCGAGAACCCCCTTTGAAGTTCATTGTACGCAAAAACCCTCGTCATAACACCTGGGGAGATATGAAACTGTTTTATGAACCTCAGGTGAGTTTTTGTTACTTTCATATATGTTTTTTCACATCTTTGTGCATTTATTATACTATTGTGCTGTTATGAAGGTTTACATTTTCAAATGGCTCAATCACCAAAGAGGCTAGAACAAAGGGAGATAACTCCTGCTGCCCTATTTTGAGACCAATACCCTTTTCAGTACCTGGTACGTATACTTTATCTTAGATTACGGATTCATCGGTCATATTATTTTTTCATTTCAGCAAAAAGTCATAAAACTTTGTAGGTATTTTATTTTTTGCTTCTTGTCAAATATTTTGCATCTGCAGTACTAAAGTACAAATGATTACACCTCATAGGCATGTAGTCTCGTCTGTCAATACACAGGACTATATTATATGTATATTGACAGACGAGGCTAGTGCCTGTGCCCCATATATAGGTCTTGTAAGTATTCTAGCAGCAGTCATATGTGTGTATTTACAGTATTGTCTGCTATATCCAAAATGAAATTTAGGGTACATTCGCGTATCCGGTTGAAACGGTTGAACCAGTAAAGAAAACAACAGGCACAGATCTGAACCGAGGCTGACCTCAGGAAAATTCCAGTGGTCGCGTGAAAGAAGGGCATACTATTCTTGATACATTGTTTTATATTCTTCGAAACTGTGCATTTTTAGCTTTGCTTATAGAACGGTCCAAGTGCGTTCGTTTATCGTGGAATATTTCTACGCCACCTGTACCGTTTCAACCGGGATACGTGGATGTAACCTAAGTGGAGGTTACTATGTATGTATGCAGTGATATGTTTTTGCTCAGATTTACTGCCAAATACGGACTTGTTCCCCTAGCTAAAAAGTGACATATATTCCCAAAATGACCAAAAACTGGGGAACATATTCACCATTTCAATATACTTATAGCATATATTTTCCCCAGTTCATAATGGAACAAGAAGTTGTAAAATTTAGGTAACAAAAACACTGGTATGAAAAACTACAATGGAAGTCTCCAACGTTTTGCTTGCAGTGGGACGGGATGCTTAATATCATTTCAAGAGACTGTATGAAGTTGATATTACACTGTATGTGTTGTTTTGATACATAATAATTCATTTTATTACATACTTCCTAATAAATACGGGTCTTTTGTATATGCGATACGACACAATTGCCCTTACCCATATCAGCCTTCGCTGTATCACACCCCAAAAGCCGTATCAGCCCCCGCCGTATCACACCCCAAAACCTGTATCAGCCCGCAAAACCGTATCACACCCCTTTTGACAAATTTTGGTTTTTCAATATTTCAAAAGAAAAATAGATCATAAGAAAGTAGCTTTTATTAATAAGTATGTAATAAACAGAATAAAACATGCCTTTTTTCCATATCACATCCAGTATCAACCAAAGACTGCAATATCAGCCCATTAGGGCCGAAGAAAATGCATGTATTATTCTCTATTTAATGCACAGGGGCATGGATCGCTTTACTTGTAATATTAAACAAGAGGCCCAGGGGCCTTAATAGCTCACCTGGTATTTTATTTTTCAATTTAAAACCTGCTGAGTACCATTCAGGTTTATCAAAGGAGTACAAGTAACAAAGTTGCATCTTCCATTTATAAATATTCAATTCCCTTTGCCCAAAGATTCTCTAAAACAAGTTTGGTTAGGTTAAAATCCCTTCAACGGTACAGAAGGAGAAGGATCTTTAATGTTTTCCTCTATTTCCCCTAATGGGCCCCACTAATCTGCCCCAAAGAAGGGGAATCCACACACCTCAGTTTAAACAAAATTGATTCTTTTCTCCCTAAGCATGCTTCAGACTGCATTTGGTTTAAATCCCTTCACTTGTATAGTAGGAGAAAAAAAATCCTCTATTTCCCCTATTGGGCCCCGCTCCTATGCCGCCAGAAGGCCCACACCCTCCGTTTATACAAACTTGAGTCTCCTTTGTCCAAAGATGCTCTAGGACAAATTTGGTCAAAATCCTTCAATTGGTTGAGGAGAAGATTTTTAAAGATTTACCTATTTTCCCCTATTTGGCCCCGTCCCTCTGCCCCCAGGGGGACCATACCCTCCGTTCATACAAAACTGAGAACCCTTTGGCCAATGATGCTCCAGACCAAATTTGGTCAAAATCCCTTCATCGGTACAAAAGGAGAAGGATATTTGATGTTTTCCTCTATTTCCCCTAATGGGCCCCACCCATCTGCCCTTAGAAGGAGGCCCACACACCTCAGTTTATACAAAATTGATTCTTTTGTCCCTAATCATGCTTCAGACTGCATTTGGTTAAAGTCCCTTCACTTGTATAGCAGGAGAAAAAAATTCCTCTATTTCCACCCTCCGTTTATACAAACTTGAGTCTCCTTTGTCCAAAGATGCTCTAGGACAAATTTGGTCAAAATCCTTCTATTGGTTGAGAAGAAGAAGATTTTTAAAGATTTACCTATTTTCCCCCTATTTGGCCCCGCCCCTCTGCCCCCAGGGGGGTTATACCCTCCGTTTATACAAAACTGAGAACCCTTTGGCCAATGATGCTCCTGACCAAATTTGGTCAAAATCCTCTGAGCCATTCAGGACAAGTAGCATTTTAAAGGAAAAAGTTGACGGACGCCGGACGACGGACGCTGCACCATGGGATAAGCTCACTTGGCCCTTCGGGCCAGGTGAGCTAAAAATAGGGGTCGCCTATACTAATATGTATTTATTAGTATAGGAGACCCCTATTTTTTAATATTACAAGTAAAGCAATCCATGCCCCTGTGATTTAATGGGGTGTATTTGATATTTAAGTCCCTATCTTTCACACTTAATAATAATGATAATAATAATAAGAGGTTCTTATATACCGCTTTATCACAACCTAGTTTGTAGGTTATCTTAAAGCTGTTCAAAAATTATTATCGTTGGTTATTGTGCCTTTGCAACCAGCCAATATCGTTCTCAACTCCCTGGGGAGCATACAGCTGGTGCTACCCTTTCGGCACTAACAGCTAGCATTCTACAATTCTAGCATTGCCCAACCACTTTGTCATTTACAGCCGAATAGACTGGAACAAGCGGAGTAAAGTATCTTGCTCAAAAATACAACACAAAGCCGTGCCTTGACTCAAACCCGCAACCTTTCGGTCACATTTCCGGCGTCCTACCTCTAGAATAGGTGGTCGGGTGGTGCAGTGGATAGCGCACTTGCATTTCACCAATGCGGCCGGGGTTTAATTCCCCGAGCGGACGTGAAAAGGTATGGGGTTACCTGTCTGACCACGTGGGTTTTCTCAGGGTATTCCAGTTTCCTCCCACATTAAGACCTTATGTATGCTTACATCCAGGCCAACAAGAGTGATTAAAATAAGTTGAAATTACTTGTTTCATTATTGTTGTAAAATAAATAAAGTTTGTATTTATATTTTACCACGATACTGCCATGGATCTGTTGTCACAGGCGTATCAGCGAGCTATAAGTGTCATAATTGAAAGTCTCTATTGTTTGTCACAGGTGTATGAGCGAGCTATTGAAGTCTGGGGCAGTGAGGAAAGTATTGAAGAAGCTCACGAAAAACGAGCTGAAAACAGGGAAAAAACGAAACAGAAAAAATTTGATAAGAAAGTTAAAGGTCAGTGAAATTTCAATAAAAATATCTTCCAAAAGAAACAAAAGATACCCTTTAAATGTGTTGAAGATCAAATAAAATGTCCTTAAAATTTAACTCATATGTATCATAACGCAATATTGATTGCTTTATTTACATTTTTTTTATTTCCAGTGAAACTTAAATGTACTCTCTGTAATTACAAGATAAATAAAACTTTTACAATTTATAGAAAGGATCGTTAATTTTTCTTATTGTTGTGTGTGAATTATGACATAAAACAAATACTCGTAAACAACAGGAGACAATAATAGCATTTAGTATTTCTTCGTTCTGAAGTTTCAGGTGTGAATTGGTTAATATATTGTAATTACCTTACAGAATTACGACACGCCGTTCGGAGTAGCCTCGTGAAGAAGGACCGGGGACCACACGTTCATGAGTTCGGTGAGGAGGTTTACGACGAGGCTGAGGATGAGTACAGTAAGGCGTGTACAACATGTGGTCACGTTTCAACGTATGAAAAAATGTGAGACTGACATAAATTAATTGTGAAACGTCAAATCTCAGGAATTTCGCCGCACAAGTACCAACCAAGTGGGCTTAGCTTATTACCGGATAAATGTGATATTTGATTACTTTTTCGTCACACTTCTGTCTACCTCACGATACATTTGACACATTATATAAAGTTGTATACATGTTTTTTTATTATATTAGGAAAAAAATACCATCAAGATTAAATTGTCATTATCACTATTATGAAATTTCTGTTGAAATATATTAATAGAAGTATTAAATATAAAATATGTTTTGTGATACATTTTTCACAATGAAATTTGTTTGAAATTTGAAAAGATAAAATAAGCAGAAAAAAACCACCCCAGAAAGTCTTTCGGTTGAACTCTGCAAATCCTTATCTTCATTAATGATATCCAGTAAAAGTAATTCCCTGCAAACATAAAAATGAACGATGGATACCTTTCTAAGGGAAATAACTTTAACAAAATACAGAGGCATTTTTGATTTTTCATCTTTATATTCATGTACACGGGTAAATATTCCAAAATGAAAAAAAAAACCATGAAAATCCCAGCTGAGAAGCGGAACTCTTCTCCACAGTTATATTCAGTGCAGTGTTACCTTTTTGTACGTGTGTATATATACTACATGTAAATATTTAGTTCACAGTTGTATGAGTCTATAGATCTGTAATGAATTTGAGGCATGTACTGGTATTTCAATAGATCACAATTACAGATTGAAATGCATAACAAGAAAATATTTGATGTCTTTGGTGATTTTATTGATTATTTTTATGATTCAATGGGTCTTTTTGACATTTCTTTTTTCTTTTTTATAAAACTTTTGTTTTTCATGAATTTAGAAATCAAACCTATTTTTGGTAAAAATTCTTACAGTGTTGTTGAAATCAGTAAAGAATGATAATAATATTTATTTATTCATTTTGTTTACATAGCTAATAGTAAATATGGACCAAATGAAATGTTATACATTATTAAAAATTTCCATTACACGTTGTTACATAATTAGTTCAACAGACACAGGTTTGTGTAAACTGGTTTTATTATTAGGTTTAACGTCCTATTAACAGCTTTGGTAATTTAAGGACGTACCTCGACGTGTGTAATGTATGTGTGCATGTGTGTATGTGTGCTGGAAGCAGGGTATGTTGCATCCTAGATATCCAGGGGTTACGCTCACTTTCCCTCTCTGCACCCCTGGAATGACATAGTAAAATTGAAGGCACTGGCTAGCTATTTGATTGGTGTCGGGTCAAAAAATACCTGACCAATCACTAGGCTGATACTTGTCCTCTAAAGATAACAGAGGAGCGACGCCCGACTTCAAAGCCAATAAGTTTTACCGTTACGCGACCGCGAGATTCAAACACAAGACTGTACACACTGAGCCTTCAATTTTTCTATGACATATCCCAGGGGTGCAGAGAGTGAAAGTGAGCTTAATCCCACAAGTATCGAGGATGAGCATGTTGGTGTATTTGCCTCATTACAATAGCGCAGAACATGTGGAACTTTGAATGGTAAAAAATTTTAAGTTTGTGATATTGCAAAATGATAGAAAAATATCATGTATATTAATAGAATATCAGTAAAATCAAATAACACCATGGCCAAGAACAGTTTTGTCTGGAGTAGAAAACAGGGATGTCATTCAGAATGTCCAGCAAAAAGATGATATCAGTCGTAAAGATTTTGTAGTTGGTTAACCAAGGAATGGGTGAACGTACTGAAGGACGTGTCTCCACGTGTGTAATGTATGCGTGCGTGTGTATGTGTGCTGGAGACAGGGTATGTTGGTTAACATTGCCTCCTTGCGATAGCGCGGATGTGATGTCGACTTTATAGATATAAATGAAAATGTATAACTTCGGGTAAATGTATGAGTGTAATATTGCAATATGATAGAAAATTATCATGTATCAAATATCACAGAAATCAAATAACTCCAAAGTCATGAATAAATCTATCTGTAATAGAAAACAGGGCATCCTCGATATCCAGGGGTTACGCTCACTTTCGCTCTCTACACCCCTGGAATATGTCATAGCAAAATTGAAGGCACGAAAAAAGCTGTTTGATTGGTCTCAGATAAAAAATAAAATGACCAATCGCTAGGCTGATACTGTCCTTTGAAGATTACAAAGGAGAGACGCCCGACTTCAAAGCCTTTCAATTTTTACCGTTGCGCGACCTTGATATTTTTTTGATGTACATCAAAGGATCGAACTAGTCTTCTTGTCTCATCAACAAGGTGGCGCACACCGAGCCTTCAATTTTGCTATGACATATTCCAGGGGTGCAGAGAGCACCCATTGAGTGTCGAGGATGAAAATAGGGATGCCATTCAGAAAGCCAAGCAAAAAGATAATATCAGTCCTAAACATTTTGGACTATGAATATAGGGATAGCAAGGTAACATAAGTGGAAGTGCATACTACACATACATTAATTAGAAAATATGGCTTTTACGTGATGTCCCTTTACTTGTAACTCCTTAATTCACCCCTGAAATTTCATAATGAACTATTGCAACCTTTGATTTGGAAGAGTTCAAATGTGTCTTCGGGGTTGAATGAGTTAACTATGGAAGGAGTGGACGTCACTACTTATTTGGATAATCTGTACGCTACACGTGTATGTAGTGAATTAAGCAATAAAGTAAATGTATTGCAGAGGTAGAAGTTGTTGTGTTGAATTCGTGAACTCACAAATAAAAATAAAACGAAAACAATACTTCATGTGCTTCACGACACATTATAGTATCTGAGAAAAAAGGACTGCTAGCTGATGTCATGTCCCCTTCGCTGTCCGCGTGGCTAACAAACACAATATTTACCTGTCTAGCCACAGGAGCATGGATCCATGCCCCTGTGTGTCTAGCCATTCTTTGTGATCAGAAACCTAACCAACTCCATCCTCGATATCCCATGAGTTAGCAGGCAGATACCTGTCCTTTGAAGATTACATTGGAGTGACAACCGACTTCAAACCAGTCTATTATACCGTTACGCGGCTGCGAGATTCTTGTGATGTTCATCAAAGCATCAAACTAGTCCTCCTGTCTCATTCACAAGGTGATGCACGCTGAGCCTTTATTTTCGCCACGACATATTCCAGGGGTACAGAGATCGTTAGTGAGCGTTACCCCCGGAGTAGCGAGGATGGCCTAACTCCAAGTGTCAAATTTGTTTCATTGTCTGTATCTATTGGACGTTTGTATTCTATATAAAGAATATAGCACATGCAGTATTTTGATATATTTCTTGTTCATTAAGTAATTAAAAAGTCACAAAATTTCATGTTATATTGTAAGAGTCTTATCTGTGTACTTTGTCAAATGTATGAATCGTACGCCGATGCCCTTCCTCCGTCCTTGTTAACAGTTTCCAGAATAGCAGCTCACCTTGTCTCAAAAGCCCCTTAATCGTCTTGTGCCCAAGACATCTAATTTAGCTAATTTGTGTTATGCCATTTAAAAAGAACCAATCGCACATCTTTCTGTTGTTATTTGTTACGAAAAAATGCCAATACTCAAACGTACATTGTAATTGCATGAGATTTATTCATTTATTTAATTATTTTATTGATATCTTCAAGTATATTTCTATTATAGTTTAACATTTAATAAATTCCGAAATTTTGTGTATCCCATTTGGATCAAGAAATTCATGAAAATATCTTTGAAACTTAAATACTTTGAAGGATATGCATGAAAAAACTCAATAAACACAGTACCAGTTTGACTCAAAACATTCTCAAGTTGAAAATATTGGTTATTGTTGCCTTTTAAAAGGTACAAAATATCATCAGTTAATCTTGACAGCAGTAAACATGTGGGCATGCCTGATAGCAAAAGTACAACTCTATCCTCAAAATTAACACATTCCATGGGCGCAGAGAACTCAACTGGGTGTGACACCGGGAGTGTCGTGGATGGATCACCACGGAGTTTCACTCGTTCAAACTAATTTGGTTCGTAATCTTTTTATGGAATTTCGTGAAAGCCCGACCACAAAGAAATTAGATATCGTATCATATACGATTAGCTGTTTATGTAATTAGAAGTACTAATTGGGAGGTAGACATATGTTTCTATCTCGATACATGCGCTGTGAGGAGTTCCCAGATGTCTAGGATATCGGAACGGTAATGATGGATGACGGTGTTTCCCGTGTGATGACACAGTCTATATCCGCTACACCCCCGGGCATCACATTTTATGGCTTATTTTCAATAATACGTATACTTTTGTGACACAAGAACACACTGATCTTCTGGAATTACATAAAGATTGTTCTGACGATGTGTTCTTACATATATAAGGCATGTCCACAATCAATGTTACCTAAACGTAAAACTGCTGGCTGAGGTGTGCTACCGCTAACCAGAGAAATATGAAATGCTGTAATTCTGTTTAAAACACAATGTACAAAAAATGAACATCGAACCTCATATCTTTATAGTACTTATAAACTTATTGCAAAATGTCATTCATTGTATCAGTTATTGATACCCATAAACATAATCTTGAAATCGACAATTCAGTCTATACATGTACGTCATGGAAGCCTGTCACACGTGTTATTACAAAGCTAACTAAAATTTAGCATACACGTGGATATCTCCTGATCATCCCTCTATTACATTATGTAATTACACAAATCAGGGCGGATTGGTCGAGTGGCTAACACTCCGGCCTTCAACGTTAACGCAGGAGGCCGGGCTTCGGTCGAGGTGGAGTATAAAATGGTCTGTGGTGAATGATGCGGTATCTGTGCTGTAGCATTCAAGTGAGGTGGCACTACGAATGATACCGTTGGAAGCATGGTCCCACTACAAACAGAACAGAATACATCACGCAGGCATACACACATAGGGAGATTTTAGCCAGGTGACATAGGACTAGTAGTTAGCGCCTGATAAGGCAGCTCCTGCGAATTCCTTTAAATTATATTGATTAATGTATATGCTAATTGTACATATATGTACTGTAAATCGCTTTAGAGTGGCTTATGCTAGCTAGATAGGGCGCTATATCAAATGTTGTATATTATTATTTTTATCAATAACAATTATGGAATGCGAGGTTTATCGTGCGTTGTGGCTTGTTTTATTAAAAACGTACCCTGAAAATAATTCCAATCAATTATCCCTTACTATTTGTAATTTTTTATTTTTAAATTCTGAAATTCATCAATTTAAATCATTAAACCATTTATTATCTTCAGAATACCTATTTTTAATTGGACTGTAGAGATGTCGTTTATAATGCATGTAATGTCGTACATGTAATATGTGGGTCAATTATACTGATAAGTGTCATTTCGTTATTTTGCAGCAAAATAACGATAAGTATCGTCTTTTGCCCCTCCAAACATCGTCTTTTCAAAACGAAATGACGAAACAACGATACAATTTGAAATGGCCACATATAAACCACCGTATTCGACGGATATACCGACCGGCATGGCCAATTACCGCTCCAGAATATGACGAATAGCGATATTTGACCACAAAATCACAAGTATTTCGCTTGATTCATAGTGGGAAATATGTCTTGATAAACAACTTCCTGTTATTGATGACGTAGGTCTATCCCGGAAATAACTGCTCACACACATATATATATACAAACCTTATTATAAACACGTGTATTGGGAAGGACGCTCTGTCCAGTAATATACCTGCCCATGGCCCTAATGACCACTGTCCAGTAAGGTATAAGTCCCAGAGTAACTTGCCGTGTATTTTGGCTGAAGTCATTATGCTATAGTCTGATTGATGACTACGTATCTCGTAAATATACCTGGTATGTTTGTACCTACACAATCCCACGTTCTCAAAGAGGTCGAATAAGTCCTGCCGGAGTCTTTTTGATCACTCGGACAAAAATTGTAATCGCAGACTGGCTGATTTTATTGGGAGATTAGTATTATAAAGTTTGGGTAGCAACCAGGATTGTTTTTGCGACATCGAATTGATCTCGTCGGAAAAACGGACTGTGATTTCTTTTAAACTTGGATCTAAATTACAATTTGTGGCGTCAACTACTTTTTTTGTTATAAGAACACTTTCATCGGAAACTGTGATATACTTCGGAATATTTGTAACTGTGGATGTATCACTTAATACAAATTCTCTACAGTTCACTTTTATTAAATGAAGTGACAAATATGTAAACATTTTGGAAAACTGAATTCATCTTGTTGACTTTTTTTTTTTTTAGTGTAAATACTTTTGCAGTCGGCTTATTTCACATATCTTGATATCATTCTTGGATACTTTTTTGCTATTTGCCTGGCGCCATCGTTTACGAAACAACCATGTGTAGGAGTCAAATGACGGCAACGTTAGGGATCCTTGTCTTGCTAGGGAGTGTTCCTGTCTGTCTGTGTGTCTACGCCGAGACTTTGTACGGCTGGGTACGGGGGCGTGTCACACCGGAAGCTATCGTGTTCCTCGGAATACCCTATGCTTCACCACCGGAAAGGTAGGTCCTATAACTCTATTGGGCTTATTTGCATATCGGTAATATGTATTTTAGTTTTATTTTCAAACGTGTCACATACAGAAAAAAAAAAATTGTTCCGGGTATTCCTTAGGCCCAATCTCGTGGGTGCTGCGGCCACCGCTATATGCCCTGCGCCCACCGCTCTATGCCCTGCGCCCACCGCTCATTTCACATGTACGGTGATCAGGACTTGTCAGAAGTCTTTCATGTTACATAATTTACAAAATGGATTCTATGTTAATTTACTTTTTTTCCCCCAAGAAATTTTGAAAATTAAAAAAAAAAGTGGAAAGTAAAATCTGTATTTGCCAATAAACCATCATGGTTTGAATTCTATGAAACGGATAATTATACATGTATTACTATTACCAAGAGAAGTGCTAGATAATTCTCTAGCTTTATATTCTAGTTTATAATTTTTCTTTAGATATTAGATCAAAATATATTAAGCCATATTTCTGGCGTCGCCATTCTGTCAACTCCTGTCGATACGGATCGTTAAACAACTTAATAATCTTGGTAATTTGTTGTGTATTGCCACTGCCAGGCGTGACAGCTACTAGTCATACTATTGTGTTATCTTGTATAATACATTTATTAATTGCACGATTTATGACACGGAGCGAAATTGTTTCACATTGTTCAGCCTCCGTTATACTATTGATTTACTATGTTTAACACTTGCATGATGTGACTCCTATAAGCCGTGATGCTTTTGGAATAAACTTACCTGAAATTGATCTAAATGTGGTGATGTTTAAAACGTGTAACCCAGGGCTCATTGCTCGCCCGACTCTAAAATATACCAGGAACGTCCTTGATTATTCTTAAACATATATGTACACGTCTGAAATTTAACAAAGCTATCCATCAGTTAGTAGCATGGGTTCAATCAACTGTGTTTGATTTTCATTTGGAAATTTTCTAGTAAAACGAATAATACCATGAACAACTTCTTACATATGTAAATTGCACGTCAATAGTTTTTCACCATTCGCATGAATTAAATCTGACATGTACAGTCGCCAAACTACAAAATCAATTGTATTTTGAAAATTATGATAGAAAACCATTTTGAAAAAACAAACTACGTGCACAGACGGTAAATATGTACGGGAGATAATACCAGTCCGTACGGGAGATAATACCAGTCAGTACAGGAGATAATACCAGTCCGTACCAGTCCGTACGGGAAATAATACCAGTCCGTACGGGAGATAATACCAGTCAGTACGGTAGATAATACCAGTCCGTACGGGAGATAATACCAGTCACTACGGGAGATAATACCAGTCAGTACGGGAGATAATCCCAGTCCGTACCAGTCCGTACGGGAGATAATTCCAGTCAGTACGGGAGATAATACCAGTCCGTACGGAAGATAATACCAGTCAGCACGGGAGATAATACCAGTCAGTACGGGAGATAATCCCAGTCCGTACCAGTCCGTACGGGAGATAATACCAGTCAGAACGGGAGATAATACCAGTCCGTACGGGAGATAATATCAGTCAGTACGGGAGATAATACCAGTCCGTACGGGAGATAATACTAGTCAGTATGGGAGATAATACCAGTCCGTACGGGAGATAATACCAGTCAGTACGGGAGATAATACCAGTCCGCAGATCTGATCGTCGTAGCAAAACATATTGTTATTATAAACATGAACTGTATTAACTGGATCGAGACTGTGACTTCTGTTCAATCAAATTTATATATTGTGATACTTTATTTTGTTATTTCAATAAATGTACCCGTGTTCTTATGTAACGCTGCGTTATGTAAGGGAGGTAACTGCAATATATATTTATTTGCGGCATTTACTTGTTGAGTTCATTTTGATTTAATTCTTTTACATTTTACTGATATAAAACTTGATATTTTATTCTATAGATGGGAACACTCCCAGCCCCCTCCCCGTTGGGTCGGTGTGTGGGATGCGACCCAGCCCCGCCCTATGTGTATGCAGCCCGAGTGTGGGGCTGATACACCCCCCGGGATGTGCCTTTCACAGGTAAGCCGGCGCGTGATCAGTGTTACGGGTTAATGTATTATTTAAAATCATCAATATGCGAGATGTGCAATTAACAACTAGAATATCAATTAATTTTGTGCTGCATTTGATAAACAGAATTCCCTCCAATACCACACCCTCTGACATAAACCAAAACAACACCAAATAACAAATAACAATCTTTAACGATACTAAAGATGGCCTGTTGGCGCAGTGGATAACGCACTTGCCTATAAGCTTTCACCAAGGCAGCCGGGGTCGATTCCGGATCGGACGTGAAAAGGAGTGAATTATCTGGGTATCCCGGTTTTCTCCCACATTAAGACCCCCTGCAGCGCGCTAACATCCGGGCCAACAAAAGTATAGTTTATAAAAAATATAGTAAATTTTGAGTGTCTGAACTCTCTGTAAACACTGAATGTAATTTATTTATTAGGAGCTTAGTCATATAAAATAAGTCTTTTATATTCATTTTACTATACAGATGTCGGAGGATTGTCTCTACTTGAATGTTTTTGTCCCCCTGGATGCCCGTCCCGGGGGTAACAAGTCTGTGATGGTCTTCATCCACGGGGGAGCTTTTGAATCGTACACCGGCGGCGCCGAAATATATAACGGGGAACGCTTCGTAAACAAGGGTGACGTCATACTCGTCACCTTCAACTATAGATTGGGTAAGCTAACAGGATGGAAATGATGTTGATTTAAAACCAACCTATCATAATACACAGAAACTAGTCTAAACCAATATGTGCTGCAAGCTTACTCTGTAATGTACAACAAGCAGAAGTGAGGCTTAGATAAATATAAAATACAAATACAAAATAGATGGAAGTTTCGTTAAAAAGTGTTTGTATATTTATTTGACAGGGGCTTTGGGGTTCCTGGTAACCGGAAGTGAACCCGGGACCGCCGTTGGTAACTACGGGATACGAGACCAGAGGCTTGCTATGGAATGGGTCAATGGGAATATTCAGAACTTTGGAGGAGACCCTGGACAGGTAAATATAATAAGGATCCTTGTTAAGGTCTGACTGGATGCAGATTAAATCCGTAAATTTGAAATTATTTTAATTCCCTGAATACAGTTTTTTTTTCGGGTCATCATGCATGAAAATATTAAGTGCAGTTCCTTCATTCACAAATCTGACTTCGTACATTCGGAAAACCATTGCACTTTCCATGTTGGTAGATCACTTGGTGATAGGTATCTAATTACTCGAAACTTTCATCGCTGAACGGACTAAATTATTTTAGTATACCCTTACATTTTCGAGTTCACACACACAATGTACATTCATGATTGTTTGTAATGCAGTATTAGAAAGGTACATATATAACACGGGCTGCACTTTTCTGCCCTTTTCTCCATTTTGCTTTTGGAAAGATACTTTATGCCAATGAAAAATAACCACTTGGCACACGCCTTTATATCACCGGTCTGGCCTTTATATCACCATTCTGGCCTTTATATCACCGGTCTGGCCTTTATATCACCAGTCTGACCTTTATATCACTGGTCTGCATGGCCTTCATATCACCAGTCTGGCCTTTATATCACCAGTCTGTATGGCCTTTACATCACCAGTCTGTATGGCCTTTATATCACCAGTCACGCCTTTATATCACCGGTGTCGCCTTTGTATCACCAGTCTGGCCTTTATATCACCAGTCTGGCCTTTATCTCACCAGTCTGCATGGCCTTTATATCAGCAGTCTGCATGGCCTTTATATCACCAGTCTGGCCTTTATATCACCGGACAAGAATCAACTGATTTGATAAATTACAGCTGATATATGTAATCTAATGCACTCAATTTAATTTACATTACTACAAAGATATACCTGTATTTTAAGATTGGGGACAAACACATAATTTTATTTCTTTGTAAAGAAATGGACAATATGCTGTAATCAATTCAATGTAAATTCTTAAGCATCAAATTCTGTTATGTTTTTATTACAATATTTAATAGTGTTGCCGTTTATCTAACCGTTTTCAAATGTTCTTTCTGTATTCAAGGTCACGTTATTCGGACAAAGTGCCGGTGCTACCTCAACCGCCATCCACCTCACTTCCGGCAATGCGGAACGTCTGTTCCAGAGGGCAATTCTTCAGAGTGTACCGTTCAGCATTCCGTTTAAAACGTATGAGCAAGCTCTAGCGCAAGGCAAGAGCTTCAGTGCGGCTTTAAATTGTTCACCTCAGGATAAGGAGTGTCTGAAACAAAAATCCCCTGTGGAAATAATTGACGCTCAGAAAAAGACGTCGACCTCGACCGGAACTCTCCTGCAGCGCTTCATGCCCTGGATACCACATCTAGACGGAAACGAGGTTCCCCTTGACTTGCAATCGGCGTTTGAGAAAGGGGTATTCGTGAGAAAGCCTGTGGTTCTCGGTACAACAGCCAATGAAGGCACGTCTTACATATACAGGTCATTTCGGGCACCTCTCAGCAGAGGTGCGTTTTCGGCTTTGTTATTGTTGCTGAAACCAAGAGACGCGATGAATCTGTTTTTAAGATATTATCCAAGGAACATGGCGGACGCACGTGAAGAATTCTCACAACTAGCGACAGATCTAGTTTTTACATGCCCCACAAGAAAAATCGCGAGGGATCTCGAACGACGAAATACTACATGGCTGTACGTGTTTGACCATTCCTGGAGATTTCTCAACAGGAGCCGATTTATGCCTTACTGCAGAGACAAGGCATGTCATGCCGCTGAAATACCGTTTTTGTTCCAGTCGTTACATCGGGGTGGATTTCAGCTATCTATGGAAGAACAACAAGTGGCAGATGAACTTTTAATTTATTGGACAAATTTTGCAAAGTACGAAAATCCGAACGGCGACCAGACACAAGAAGACGTACAAAATAGAACCTTGTCTTGGCCCACATATTCTTCCAGAGGTCCATTTAGATTTGCCGGTATGGTTTTCTCTCAGCCTCGATCTCAAGTTGAACTGGATTATTTTGGAGTAGTCTGTAACGCTTTTGACCAAAATGATTTCCGTGCAAAGTGATGTATGTAAATCGGTGTATAATTTATATTATGTGTTATGTTTAATACAGGAGTAGCTTATTACCAAAGTTAAATTATTTCTATTGTGTAAATAATGTCATTATTGTGTACACAATGGGTTATGACTGTTATTGTCATGCAAAGCAAACCGATAAAGGAAAGTTAAGTTAGAGAAAATTGAAATCAAATGATCGTTTTTATGTGATTTGTGAAAAAAAAGATGAATAGAAAATGTCATTTAGTTATCTTTCCTCGAGTCTTTATATACGGTAGATCTACATGTGCATGTACTTAATAATTGATATGTAAAACAGAAAGAAAAGGAAAGAAAGCGAGGGAAGAAGTGAAAAGGGAGATCGGAAGAGGGATGTTCTGGTTGCATTGGTTGTCCACTAAATTGTTTCAAACCTTTACGATTGTTTGAGTACCGTTCCGTCAGTATAATTCGATAACTAATTGATAGAATGAAACTTGAATGAATGTGTTCTATGTCAATATGAGCTGCAGTGATTCATGAAATTGTGAAACACAGGTATGGCAATCACAAGAAAGCGTAAACACGTATACTTGTACGGCACGCATACCGACCGCTGTTTGTCGTCTTGCCGACACAAGTGTATTGTATAGAATGTGGTTTTGATTGCAATAACGACCTGTCGATAGACAGTGATGGTCGTTTTGTTGTTGGTCAGCAAGGCCATGACCCCAATAAGGGTAACGTGACAGGGTCAGACCAATATATCCTGGGGCCATCTACATTGAGCACGCGCGTAGGAGTTTCATTGACCAGTTATGATATACCGTATATCAATCTTTCCTGACATTTGTTTTTCTTTTATATTTCAATTCCTACTTATGTAAGTCTCCTTAAAACTACCAAATCTTGTCTGTTACGTCTGCCCATAAAATTGACCAGATTAATATTTCCTGTGCGTATGAATACATGTTTTCAGATTTTGTAAAAAAAAATAATATACATATATAATTTGTATTGTTTTTGTTTTTGTTTGTTTTTGTTTCGTTTTGTTTTATGATGTCATGGTATTCTGTACCGCAATAACAGTTTACACAATATCGATGTGTGGTGGTCCTCCAATGCTGGACTTTATTTTTTTATTACGCCAATTCACAAACTTGCACAGACTTCAGTATCTATCTTCACTGCAAAAGTCAAGATGCAGCAGGTAAGAGCCGAATACAGCCGAATTCTACACTTTGTGATAAAAACATGAAATTTGGTACATACAATCCATGATTTACACTGGTCATTTGAAGATAGGGAGACATCCGAAAAAAATACTTGCTTCCGGTAAAGTTCAAGATGGCTGCAAAACCTTTATAATACATATTTATATACGAGGGCTTTATATTAAATATTTTATATCAAAGTGTATTGGCAAGGTACAACTCAAGCTCAAAATATTAAAAATGATGATGAATAAAATTCGATAAAGCGCCCTTTTTAGCTAGAATAAGTCACTCTAAAGCGCTTTATAATACATAGATATACAATTAATACAATCAAAAAATTAGCATACATATATTTATCAGGCGCTAACTACTAGTCCTATGCCAACTTGCTTATATCTCCCAATGTGTGTATGCCTGCGTTTGTTCTGGAGATGTATTGTGTTCCGTTTGTAGTGGACCGTGCTTCCAACGGTATCATTTATAGTGCCACCTCATTTAAATGCACCAGCACAGATACCGCAACATCCACCCCAGACCATTTTATACTCCACCTGGGTTGTTGGAGTTGTGTGGGCAGGAGAAAAACACTTTCTCTAAAACACTTTCTCTGAATATTCTTTTTTTTAGTACAGATCCAACAGTATATGACAGGATGCATGGTGTAAGTCCTCGCCTTAGACATCATAGAAACTTTATTGTTCCCCTGTGCAGAACCAACTTGTATAAAAATAGCTTTTTTCCTAGAATGATGTCTCTATGAAATAGGCCAGACTGTATTTTTCCAAAACTCACTACATTGAGCCAGTTAAAACTGGAATAACTTAAGGCAAGCACATACGTTTTGCAACCATCTAACTGTACGGATATTTTTAAATACGGTGGCTCCAGGAAGTTGAATATAACATTATGTCAACTACGGAATAAAGTCAGCCAATTAAAATCAGATTTATATAATGATCATCTTACAGATAATCCTAAGCGTGACTGTGGTTTTATTATTGAAGATGCAAATCACTTCTTCCTCAATTGCCCCAAATATATAGATGAAAGACAAGTTTTATTCAATGCGTTATCTAATTACAACGAAATTGACAACATCATCTTAAATACTGTTATATTCACTAAGGGTGATATGAACCTTAGCAGTGAATCAAATAAATTTATTCTCTCATGTGTTCTGGAGTTTATTGACAAATCTGGAAGATTTTAACTTAAACTATACTTAAAAATACATTACAATGTGTTTGTATTTGCTATGTTATAACAATAACTCTGGTGTAATTGGGAAGGATGGCACTGTGTATAGTGACAGTGTCTTTGAAGTGCCTCCAACCAAACACTAGGCTATTAATAATTGAAGTAAATAGACTATATTAATTGAAATGGTAAAATCTATGATATTCTAGTTACATGTATTATTTTCTGTGAACATGTATTAAATGGTTCTAGTATTCTCCTATTAATTCGAACATATACTACATCTTCTCTATTATACTCTCTATATATACATATACGTATATTCTCTGGAAAGGGCTTTTATAGGCAATGCCTGTGCCTAATCCAATTGTATTTTTTTGAATACAATAAAATTGATTTGAAATGAAATGGTGTAAGTACGTTTAACACGAACAGCCAGGTTAGGGTATGTGTTTTTTAACAACATAAGAAACTGTCAGCAAAACTTTGTTCTGGGGACATGGTTGCTTAGGATGCTAAATGTGAAATGTCTCGCGATCGTGGCGTTACACAACAAATCAAGGTCCTAAACTTATATAGAACATCCATTGAATAACAATCGGAACCAAAACCAAGGCATCGCACTAGCTGAGATTATAACCTACAAAGAAGACTTTAGAAACAATGAAATAACACTCGTGTTTTGAATGGCTGACATACCTGAGATGTATGGTAACAGATTAAACAACCCCGGCACACCATCCACCGCACACTTACGTTCTCTACATCCCTGGACTATATCATAGCTAAATTGAACGCACGCGGCTAGCTATTTGATTGGTCTCAGGTAAAAAGAAACTGACCAATCACTAGGCTGATACATGTCCCTTGAAGATCAAAGAGGAGCGGCGACCGACTTCAAAGCTGGTAGGTTTAACCGTTACGCAACCGCGAAATTCTTTTAATTTACATCAAATGATCAAACTGGTCATCTCGTGTCATCAACGAGGTGTTGTACACTGAGCCTTCGATTTTGCAATGACATATTCCAGGGGTGCAGAGGATGCGTCCACCGATGTCCACACCACAACACTGAAAGAATGGATTCTAGGACAAATCTCAGGTTTACAGGCCTACAGAGATGGTAGGTATACTTACATGTATCTAACAGCAATGATGGCTCAGCATTACGACGAGTAATCACTGAACCCTTTGACACTAAAGCCAGTCACCTCTCCAAGGCCTAACAGTTAATTCGACGAAATGTTTTAGCCATGCAGGCAACCTCTAAAGGCTCTATTGATGACAATTACCAGGAGTTGTCTTTGTCTAATTCTTACTCCTCCCTGTATTTACATCGCCATCGCTCTTTACAGTCAGACGGGAAAACGTCAGCTTGTTGACACATTCTAAAGGTGGGGACTAAGAAAGAGTACTGAATATTTCCACTGAACTTGTTGAATATGTATGCCTACGACAGGGACGTAGTTAGCTTTTAGTCAGAGCTGATTCAGTTAGTAGCGTGTTGAGGGTAAGACTCCGGTAGGGGCACAATTGGTGTTTGTGTTTTCTGCTTGAAAATTTGGTTGATTCACCTACGTGCAAGCGTATTGGCAGCTACTCGCCTGAGCGATATGAAACATAGGGTAGAGTTTGTCCTCCTTAACTGACAGAAAACCTCTTTACAACATCGGCTGTTGACAACATTGACCACAAGCTAGAGATTCATCTGATGGCACTGGTAACCCGCTCTTCCAGCATCCTGCCAAGGATATGATCCCGGTACAACCCGTGGTTCCTCTGCTATTGGTTCCGACAGCAACGTACGTGGCGAAGGAGTCGGTCCACTACCTGAGGAATACACACACGTATTCCACCTGCAACTCTACCTATCAAATTAAAAGAAACAAACTTATCTTGTTCTCTAGTCATAAAAAAAGTATTCACAGGAATTACAAACGATTCAGAACAACTGTTTATTGTTCTTAAGATTGAATATCGCCTGTAAAACAAGGAATGGTAATATGAACCAAAGTTGCATTCCCCCTCCCACTTCCCTGTCAGCACGTGTAAATGGACTGCTTCGTCACACATTCAAATCTGAATCACTTGCCGTTAATATCTGAGAACATTACAGGCACAATTGTTCCATTATAATATTAACCAAAAATAATGTTCCAGAAACTAAGTCAAGAATTAAATCATACTTTTTAAGTAGATGTTGCATTTTGGTACTGTAGCGCTACAAAGCAACATTATGAAAATGTACATACCAGGATGAGGATAAGCTGTTGTGTCTGTTACTGCCTTTTTCATTGAATCAACAGACCAAATCTCGGTACCACGAACTATAGTGCGAGTTCCACGCTTCTTGGTAGATGTATATTATTCTCGCAAGTTTGAAAACGGAATTCGCGAATTATACAGCGTAGCAAAACTACGACGCTTTAATATCCATGAATGAGATACATACAAGGGTTAGTGTTATTGATGAAGAAAACATGTTTGAATTATCCATGAAACGAGTGAGTATCTAAGAAGGTTGATAACCTGTTCTTTTCCGCCATATGTAGATACATGAACATTAATAATAACTGCATATAACAGTAGTGTACCTCATTGCATAAGACCTAGTTGCGTGACGGTGGTATCCTAACAAAATGACAGATTGATATTACATGTGAATTTAATTTTGAAAATGACTTATGGTAGTGTATAGAATTACTGATATTTTGATACTAGATATGTCATATTGATAAACATGAAGTAAGCGTAGTGATACCTTTAATTAGAAAAGCATGCAACATTTTCACAATATTTTAAATATATCAAAACTTGTCAACTTGATTATGTATAGTTACAATGGTAGTGTATATTTTATTCTTCCTTAAAAACTTTCCATATATGTATTCTGTCTAAAGAATAATTTTTATGTAATATCAAAACCGGTAAAAGACTTTTTTTAGCATGCCAAACATGTAATCGTGAAATCAGCTTGTGCCTTACCCAAAGTTGTCGCTCATAACATTCATATACGTGGACAATAAAAATGTTTTTCTCTTTATAAAATTAGTATTCTAATAAAAACGTTTAAGATTAAAATTTATAAAATCTATATTTAAACGACAATTATTCTAGGACCCCCCATAAATTCAAAAGGTCAAAATTCAATTTTCCGAGAATCTTATGATGAAGCGGTTGACAAAGGGGTATGTGATAGGAAGGAACGACAACTCTAGATAAAGATTAATGTGCATGCTGGTCCATACATGAAAGTCGATATAAATCATGTTTAGGTGAGTGGCCTCCCCTTACCATCAACGATGAGTTGGATAGGTTTCACCAGGATTGGTTGGGTGTCTACGCGACATCTATAGATTCCTTCATCTGTTGGTCCGACGTGACGAATGACGAGACTCCAGTCATTGACAGAGAGACGTTCAATATTGTATCGAGAGATATCATAGATGATCCGGTCCATGACTGCGATAACGGTTTCACCCCCGTCAAACCACGCCACCTGTGCACAGGTATAATATTACAGGTCAAACCATACAGATAGATTATTACAAGCAAAACCAGTAAAGGAAAAAGTGTTCAGGTCAAATGATAAGTGTTCAAATATTACTGATACAAACATAAGGGTATCAGGAAATATGAAACTGACGTTAATTTATCCCTGCATTCAGGATTATACACTGGTCTATCATAAAAAAATGACAACATTCTTTAAAAAAACACAAATATTTAACGATTAAAGATATTTAACAAAGGGAGCTAACCATGTAAAGACGACCACAATAGCTTCATATGTATACAAACAAAAGTATGACATTTTGCTTATGATTTGTGAATAGGTGTTATTGATTTACATTATATCAATCATTACCGCACATCGGTAGCCTTTTATAAAATTGCTAGGTACAAATGTATGAATGCCGACTCATCAACACACGTTTGTACAATAAAATGTAGTCCTAACCCCTAGCAACACACGTTTGTACAATAAAATGTAGTCCTAACCCCTAGCTCTACGTACCTTGTGCGTGCCGAGGTTCTGGATGTTACAAGGGAGTTTGACTGTTGAGCCTCGCCGGGCTGTTATATTGAGGAGCGTGCCGTCTAGGATGGGTCGAGCTGGAATATTTCAAAAATATCTAATGGTTCCCCAAGAAATAACACATGTTTTTCTTCACGAACATAAACAAAATACCAATGTTTGATTGCAACGTATGATTGAAAACATCGATGTTTTCTGTTTAATTTAATTTAAATTAATTCAAAGCGAGAAAAGCGAGTATGTGATTATTGAAAATCCAGATGATTTGACATTTCGACCAATATTAGGCGGACCTAACAGTGTTACCCAACGGCTTAGTCATTTTATTGACTTAATTTTGAAGCCACTTTGTTCTTCAGTGAGGAGTTTTATAAAAGACGATTTTGATTTTCTTAAAACATTTGCCAAAATCTGTTCCTCCCAATTCTAAACTTGTGTCTTTTGACGTCGTCAGCTTATATACAAATATTCCACATGATTTAGGAATCGAAGCTATTACGTATTAGCTTAAGAAACATCCAGGCAAGATTGATAACCGTTTTGATCATGAAAAGTTATTTTGAAAAGAAATGTCTTTTATTTTGATGGCAATCACTACCAACAAATAATGATATATACCATGGTTATTTTGAAGAGAAACTCTACAACAATATAGAATGTAAATATGGTAAAGTGTTTTTAGAATATGTACAAAACATTTTTTTAGAGTTTTAGATGATTGTTTTATTGTATGGCCTTCTGATATGTGTATTGACAAATTAAGTGAGGAAATGAATTCTCTACATTTGTATTCAAAGCCTACTGATGCTCATAATTATTTAGAGTTTTATTCAAATCATACTAAATATATTAAAATTAATATACCTTTTAATCTCGCATCTAGAATTGTGACAATTGTAAGTGACCCCAATATGCTGGATGTGCGACTTAAAGAACTAATGTTTTTCCTGAAGTCGCAGCATAATCCGGACGAGATTATTCGTAGTGGTGTAAATAGAGCTATAGAGAAGGGACCTTTTACATCCCGTGTAGAAGCCAACGATGACCAAGGAATTATTCCTTTTGTATCTACATACAATCCACATAATTTTGCTATGTACCCTATTGTAAAAACCAAAATCGATGACTTGCAGAGAACTAGCGTGCGTATGAAAAATGTTTTAGCTAAACATAGAATTATCAATAGTAAAAGACAACCCAAAAATCTCAAAAGGCTATTGAGTTTTTCCAAGTTTGAAACGAATCAAGCTGAACTTATTGTGTCTAAATGTAATTCGCCCAGATGTGGAACATGTAAAATAATTATTGAAGGTTCTACTTTTGTTTTCAAAAATGGATTTAAATTCACTGTACGTTCTAGTATGAATTGTAAGTCGAAGAATGTTATATATGCTAAAGTTTGTGTTAAATGTTTGGAATTTCATATTGGCCAAACTGGGCGTGAACTACGTCAAAGAATGACTCTTCACAAGCAACAAACAATCCATGATGACCTTAGATTTTTACAAGTGAACAAACATATTCATAACCGTGCTAACAATAACTTCAAAGTGTTCCCTATTTACCAATGCATTCATCTGATGTGATAAAGAGGGAAGTTTCAGGAGTCGGAGTTAATGAAACTGTTGAAACCCAGTCTAAATAGTTCACATTAAATTCAACGTGTCATGCTTTAAGCAATTGCTGTGCTTTAGATATTATTGTTCATATTTTATTGTGACGTCACAATTAAGCTTGTATTGCTGTTGACGTCATGGATTTATGTGTATGCCTTCTGTGACGTCATAATGATTTTGCATTATTGATGACGTCATACTTTCTTGTGTAAACAACTATGACCTTACAATGCCTGTTTTCAAAATAAACACAGTCTCCTGATGAACGGGGAATCAACCCGAGAAAAGGCCTAGAGACACTTTCTCTGTCTTTTGTTTAATTTTTTATATTTAATTCCACCACAAGGACTTCTCAATGTTTTCTTTATATATTTATAGAATAAAAAACATAAATCTTTCAGATCGTCCGCTAGGCCTTTCTGCCTTCTAGGGCTTCTTCAGGCGATTGATGTTTATTTATCACCGTTGGTTACATGACTTCATCAATATTTGTATAGTCAACAATTTTATTGACGTCATCAATAAACAAGCATAGTGACGTCACAATCAATACTGTGATGAATGTACATATCGTAATCCTACCTTCACTGATTTAGCATATTATTCAGGTTAGATACGTTGATCTGTTGGCGTTAATCATTTGTGTTATGTCTCCGTAATTCGAACGCTTAGAAGACAGATAGTTTTCGAGGTACAATCAAAACGTACAGGTGATTATACCTCACTCACCGCTAGGTGTCGCTAGGATAGCAAGAGGGTATAAATAGGCAGAATCCAGCGACAATCAGCCCAGTTCTGTTCTGATCTCGGCGTGTGTACAGCAGCGACAGATCGCAAGTACCTAATATATGCGAGACCGGCTTTGTGTTGGAAAGATAGAAGTGACTGAATAAGTCTTGCCTTGATCCACACACTGCATGGAAGATATATTAAATAAACGATTGAGTGCTGTAGCGAGATACCGTTAGACAGAAGGTGTCACGGGCATAGGCTGTGCAGGGCTAGTCGCGACCAGGCTAGTCGTGACTAGGTATAGTCGTTAGAGCTAGTCGTGACTAGGGATAGACTTGGACATTAGAGAGTGCTGTAGTTGTATACTAGTATGAGGCTGTCGTGATCGGCGCGACTAGGTCATATAGCTAGGTAGCTGACTATAGGGCAACTATAGTGACTAGGGCTAGCCGCGACTAGGTAGTCGAGTTGTGTACTGCCTGGATTGTACGGTAGTGTGTGTAGTGTGTTATATTGATAAAGAGCAGATAGCTTTCGTATTAGTTCTATAGTCGTGCAGTAATTATTCTGTTCATATCATGTATTAAGCATTAGGTAATGGGTATGCTGGTTACAAGGTAGTAACACATATTTGTATATATTTGCAACTGTAGTATGGTTATAATTAAGCTTACAGCACAGGGATCCTTAGAAGTGACTAGGGTACGGACCCCGGAACGTTACAATACCAGGACAAAGAAAGCATCTACTTACAATACATTGCAAAAATCATTGTGCATTCAAGATGGGTTTGAGGACTTTTATAAACATATTTTCGTTAATTTCTCTTCCAACTACATCGTCGCTATTCAGTTTGTAAAAAGATAACACATAAAAATCATCTTTAGAACATTGACGCATATGTTTGCTAACTTTAAAAAATCTTGGTTCATTGTCCTACATATATATATAGTTTGGACTAACATAGACTCAGTGTACTTATGAAATTACTCAAGTAATATATTTCAAAGTTTATTACATAGAAATGCTAAGTGATTTTTATAAAACAGCAAAATGACGATTGATCATTGCATAAGTGCCCATCACACTCCGACGAAAACCTGGAAGACCGCACCACAATGTCCAGAACATTTTGATCAACGTAGCGGCGACGTGGTTTACAAACTGTGTAGTTGTTCAGTTCATACCGTGCCCTAACTACGTCGATTGATTGATTGAGTGATAGGTTTTAGGTCCGCTTCACTGCCGAGTAGTTCGGTTATCCAGCAGACGTCGTCCTTACTGGATTTTATAGTGTCTATCACGTTTCAACTAATTTCCTACCACTGCGCACATGGTCACGTTCCCACTATGTCCAATGCGTTCTTACAACGATCACAAACTGCGTTACGCGCTTGTCACGATTTAATAATAATAATTATATTATTTCGAGGTTCTTATATACCGCTTTATCACTAGCTAGTTCGTAGGTCATCTCAAAGTGGTTCACAAATTATCACCCGTGGTTATAGGGCCTTTGTAACCAGCCAATATATGTCTCAACTCCATGAGGAGCATACAGCCGGTGCTGCTATTTCGGCGCTCACAACTAGCATTCAATAATTCTAGGACTGCCCAACCACAGACTCACTTACAGCTGAATAGACTGGTATAAGCGGAGTAAAGTATCTTGGTCAAAGATACAAACACAGTGCCGTGCCGTCCACGTATACCTTCAACAATCAACTACAGTCTATGCCGCCAATGAAACCAGCAGTCCAAGGGAGACCGAAGTGAAAAAGATAAAGGCCGGAGAAGAGCACAGAATAGTCAAGATGCATATTAGTAGCGGTCTGTTCATGTTCAATCGTGGTTGAAACAGAACAATGCAGTTATTTGTACGTAAATACCGTATTTATTACGTCCATATTGTCATTACTACTTCACTAATGTTGTTACTAAGTCAATACCGTCACAACGACATCCTCAATATCCAGGGGAAACGCCCACTTTTGCTCTCTGCACCCCTGGAATATGTCATAGAAAAATTGAAGGCACGCGGCTAGCTATTTGATTGGTGTCCGATAACAAAAAATCTGACCAATCACTAGGCTGACACTTTTCCTTTGAAGATAACAAAGGAGGCACGCCCGACTTCAAAACCTGTCAATTTTTACCGTTATGCGACCGCGATATTCTTTTGATAACCATAATAGGACAAAACAAGGCTTCTCGTCTCATCCAAAAGGTACTGCACATTGAGCCTTCACTTTGCTATGAATTATTCCAGGGGTGAAAAGAGCGAAATTGAGCGTTACTCCTGGATATCGAGGATGTCACAACGACGTCAACACTGACGTTACTTTTCCTCATTATAGTTATAATGCGTCATGATTAAACTGCGTCTTCACAATTGTTATTAACAAGTCTAAAGTTCGACCACGTACTCGACGTCCGAGGAGATCTTTCCAAACGTGTCTTTATCAGTTTATACTGCGTTTTACACATCCTTGACCAATATTTTCCTGCGTCCCTGCAATTCCTTGATGACTAAGTGTAAACGTGGCTAAGGGCGCAGGGCTATGAGTAACAAATCATAATGCCCATTAGATCAATGCCGGGGTCATGCGTGACTAGAGAGAAATATTTCTATCAGATACTTATGTTTATCAGACCCCGAGTGTAGTGTAGGAAGTATGAAAGCTTGACTAACCTTTCTAACAAGCATCAACATTCATGTATGTGCCACAGAAAAGTAAGATTATATAGCACTCTCAGTTGATAGAGAAGGGATAGTGATCTTGCGTCAGTACCGTGCTCAAGGCCGTACTTATATGCATCGTCCTCCTTCGTGTGTAAGTGTTAGTTTTTGAAAACTCAGTAAGTCGGAGAAGTAGAATATGGATCAAATATGTCATCGAATGGTATCTCAAAAGCACACGCTATAAACAAACAGACACACTGGCATTTGTATAATTCTATTTATCTTGGAAAAATTGTATATGAATACTAAATGTTACCGTTGAAGAAAAGAACACCAAGCAACGTTTTGTCAACTTTACGTCTAAATTTAATAAATACTCGTCTGTTCCCATCCTGACGTTGGAAAGTTACATCTGATGTGTATCTAGTATTGCACCTCATCCACGTTTTGATCGGATTAGATCTATCACATAACGGGGAAATAAACTTCCCCTTCACTGTTTTGCTGTTGTTCTATTTCGGCATTTACTGCCGTTTCCGATAGGGAACACAATGCTTTGTTTACCGGAGATTAATCAAGTTTCACGCATCTGTCGAGGACAAATATTCCGCTAGAACTATCTAATAAGCTTACAGCTAAACATTCACAATAGCATTGTCTAGTTTATTATCCCATTAAATGTTCTTACTGCTAAATATCTGGATATGTCAACCACTTTCATCAATATGAGTAGTTGCGAATTCTATCGAATCTGCATCTTCGTTATGCTTGTACATTGGTATATAACTATAATGCACTCTCATTGTCAACTGCAAATCTACATCTTCAAAACGCTTTTTTTGTAATTTGCCAAATACATGAAACATCGTTAAAAGCTTCATACATCTATCACCTGTTATATATAGGTCTCATAAGTAATAACGACAGTATGATCCAATAATTGGCACTGGATCCAAACAAATGTTGGTTGGATGCGTATTACTTAAATAGATATATGGGCAAAAAAGTAATAACGACAGTGCAGAGGAAGAAATTTGTCAATTTTTCAGGGCGATCTGTCCCTTTATCAAGGAAGGAACATGACAATTTGGATATCACAGCAAACAACAGAGAAAAACAGTCACCATGAAACAATAGTACAATATAGAATTCTTAAACAGAAGTTATTTCTATAAAATATGCTGTTGTAATTGCATATACCCTCGGTAAGCTTGTAACTGAAGGCTTATTATAGTAAATATTTTATCTTGATTACGTGAGATCAAGTGAATTTAAAGCATCAAACCTGAAGACCCCTATGAAGGGTGAAAGCAGCTAGTTTTTTAGTTGGTCGTTGTTTTATTTTTTCTGTATACATATATATATANATATATATATATATATATATCGTCACGACGTAGCTCAGCAAAACGATTGGCAAAGATTTAAAGTAAAACCAACCTAGACAATTTTACATTTAAAAACAAGCAAACAAACAAATAAACAATAACAGTACAAACAGAACTAAACATAGTATGGAAACACTTTGATCACACATAACTTTCAATGTAAACAATTAAGCTTGTAGTTCCCAAAGTTGTTTGGTTGATATGAAATATCTATTTAAATATGAATAATTATTTATCGGTTGTACATGTAGCCAAATGTTGTAAGTTTGTAGTGTTTCAATGTTTGAGTTACACTTAAGTCACATTTCCCTTTTTGCTGCATTAAATATGTGATTCCGAAGACTTTCAACGTTGTGTTTTCGCTATTATTTTTTTACCTTTGCTACCATTGATGCTACCTTAATAAACGAAATAGCCATATGGACATTAAAATGTTTTTGTGACACGCTGACAGGAAATGTTACGCTTATCAAAAAAAACTTTCGTCCTACAATAATGTACCATACCTGAGCTCTCATAAATACTAACAGGATTGCAATGGAGGTCTAGAGCCCCTTTTATCGTTTTTAATTTATTGTATTTTAAGACAGCCTGTATGAAGCAGTACCAGTTCAGTGCATTCATGCAATTATTGACGGCACTACATTAAGAGATCGTTTATTTAGATTATAACGTACCTGTAACAGCCAGAAAAAACACACTCGTGAGGAGAAACGCAACTGATACCACAGTTTTCGAAAACATATCGAATCGCCTAGATCACAGAACAATTCCCAGATACTCCAAGTTGTACTTTGTCTCCAAACAATGGTAAACAGGTGCCTTTAACTCTAAAACATAGTCCTACTCTCAAGTACTGCAGTGTTTACATGTGTTACACACGTCCGAGGGATAGCAGAGTCAGAAATCGATATTGTCAGTTATTACATAAGCTATATTCGGCTAGTGTTACTTTCCCTATCCACTTTATCCCGACTAACTCCCTATCAGCCTAACAAGTCCCCAAACAGCGGGATAGAGATAGCTCTTGATGCAGCCTTACTTCAGCTAACACGGGTGAGAGATTGGACTTGAATGACTCGTGGAGAGGCTGTGTGGGATAGGTACATAGAGTGTTACTTCCAGCCTCTGCAGCCAGCCAGCCGTTCGCGGGCCAGCTATGGTGTCTGTCTGATGTCAGTATTTGTCAGTATGTCACTTCGTCCGCCTGTTGTTTGTCAATGACCACGTCGATATGAGCAGGAACAGCTAAATATTCTTACAATGTCATATTTTGGAAATAAAATCATCCTCTTCAAAGCACGTGTTCTTTGGACGCTTACGGATTTTCAAAAAAACAACACATATAAGTATTGTTTATATCAATCAAATGCTTCCCATTGTATTAGTAAATACAACATCTTACGCCAAAAATATATGATTCCATGTTGCTTACTTCTTGATAACCTCAATTAATATGTGCATTTTCTCATGACATGTAAATGTCTATAAAATAAAAGCAGACTCTTTAATAATGATGATGATGATGATGATATGATGATGATGATGATGATGATGATAACAGTTTGATGATGACGACAACAGTGTGATATAGAGGATATTTAAGTCTTAAGTAACAACAAATATAGTTCACGAATGTGGCTAATATTTTGACGCACTCGTGAAAAATATCAAAACATTAGCCACACGAGTGAAATATTTTTGTTATTACTTAAGACACCATTACATTTTCTATTTATTACATTTGTAAAGCGTTTGTAGTGGGACCGTTCTTCCAACGGTATCATTTATAGTGCGACCTCACTTGAATTCTATCGCACAGATACCGCAACATCCACCCCATACCATTTTATACTCCACCGGGTAGTTCGAGTTGAGTGGACAAGAGAAACACACTTTCTTTGAATATTCTTTTTTAGTGCTGACCTAACAGTATATGACAGGATGCATGATGGAAGTACGTTTAACACGAACAGCCAGGTAAGGGTATGTGCTTTTTAACTACATGATAAGAAACTGTCAGCAAAACCTTGTTCTTGGGACATGGTTGCTTAGGATGCTAAATGTGAAATGTCTCGCGATCGTGGCGTTATACAACAAATCAAGGTCCTAAAATTATATAGAATCATCCATTGGATAACAATCGGAACCAAAACTAAGGCATCGCACTGGCTGAGATTATAACCTACATAGAAGACTTCAGGAACAATGTAATAGCAGTCGTGTTTTGAATGGCTGACATACCTGAGATGTATGGTAACAGATTAAACAACCCCGGCACACCATCCACTGCATCCTCGATACTCTAGGGGTTGCGCTCACTTACGTTCTCTGCACCCCTGGAATATGTCATAGCAAATTTGAACGCTAGCGGCTAGCTATTTGATTGGTCTCAGGTAAAATGAAACTGACCAATCACAAGGCTGATACATGTCCCTTGAAGATCAAAGAGGAGCGGCGCCCGACTTCAAAGCAGGTAGGTTTTACCGTTACGCAACCGCGATTTTCTTTTAATTCACATCAAATGATCAAACTGGTCTTCTCGTGTCATCCACGAGGTGTTGAACACTGAGCCTTCGATTTTGCTATGACATATTCCAGGGGTGCAGGGATGCATCCACCGATGTCCACACCACAACACTGAAAGAATGGATTCTAGGACAAATCTCAGGTTTACAGGCCTACAGAGATGGTAGGTATACTTACGTGTATCTAACAGCGATGCCGGCTCAGCGTTACGACGTGTAATCACTGAACCATTTGACACTAAAGCCAGTCACCTCTCCAACGCGTAACAGTTAATTCGACGAAATGTTTTAGCCATGCAGGCAGCCTCTAAAGGCTCTTTTGATGACAATTACCAGGGATTGTCTTTGTCTAATTCTTATTCATCGTCATCAAACGACAAGAAACTCCTTCTTGTAATTATATCGCCATCGCTCTTTACAGTCAGACGGGGAAACGTGCGCTTGTTGACACATTCTACAGGTGGGAACTAAGTATTTCGTATAAAAGAGTATTGAATATTTCTACTGAACTTGTTGAATCTATATGCCTACGACAGAGACGTAGTTAGCCTTTAGTCAGAGCTGATTCAGTTAGTAGCGGGTCCAGGGTAGGGGGACAATTGTTTTTTTGTGTTTTCTGCTTGAAAATTTGGTTGATTCACCTACGTGCAAGCGTATTGGCAGCTACTCGCCTAAGCGATATGAAACATAGGGTAGAGTTTGTCCTCCTTAACTGACAGAAAACCTCTTTACAACATCGGCTGTTGACAACATTGACCACAACCCAGAGATTCATCTGATGGCACAGGTAACCCGCTCTTCCAGCATCCTACCAAGGATATGATCCCGGTACACCCCATGGTTCCTCTGCTATTGGTTCCGACAGCAACGTACGTGGCGAAGGAGTCGGTTCACTACCTGAGGAATACACACACGTATTCCACCTGCAATTCTACCTATCAAATTAAAAGAAACAAACTTATCTTGTTCTCTAGTCATAGAAAAAAGTATTCACAGGAATTACAAACGATTCAGAACAACTGTTTATTGTTCTTAAGATTGAATATCGCCTCTCAATCAATGAATGGTAATATGAACCAAAGTTGCATTCCCCCTCCCACTTCCCTGTCAGCACGTGTAAATGGACCGCTCCGTCACTCATTCAAATCTGAATCACTTGTCGTTGATATCTAAGAACATTACAGGCACAATTGTTCCATTATAATATTAAACCAAAAATGATGTTCCAGAAACTAAATCAATAATTGATTTATATTTTAAGTAAAAATTTGAAATTACCAATTTTGGTAATCTAGGTCTACAAAGCAACATTATGAAAATGTACATACCAGGATGAGGATGAGGTGTTGTTTCTGTTACTGCCTTTTTCATTGAATCAACATACCTAAATTCGGTACCACGAACTATAGTGCGAGTTCCACGCTTCTTGATGTATATTATTCTCGCAAGTTTGAAAACGAAATTCGCGAATTATACATGTAGAAAAACTACGACGCTTTATTATCTATGAATGAGATAAATATAAGGGTTAGTGTTATTTATGAAGATTTTTGTTTTTGAATTATCCATGCAACTAGTGAGTATCTAGGAAAGTTGACAAACCTATAACGTGAAGGTGGGGTCAACATTCGGCCCCTATTTTAGTTATTTTTTTCGCCATATGTAGATACATGAAAATTAACAAAAACTGCATATATGAGTATGTATTACTACTACTGATAACCGTAGTGGACCTCCTTGCATAACACCTAGTTGAGTGACGGGGGTATCCTAACAAAATGACAGATTTATATCACAGGTGAATTTAATTTTGAAAATGACTTATGGTAGTGTATAGAATTACTGATATTTTGATACTAAATATGTCATATTGATAAACATGAAGTAAGCGTAGTGATACCTTTACTTAGAAAAACATGCAACATTTTCACAAAATTTTAAATATATCAAACATTGTCAACTTGATTATGTATAGTTACAATGGAAGTGTATATTTTATACTTCCTTAAAAACTTTCCATGCATAATAATTTTGTCTAAAGATTTTTTTTTTTTTATTAAAACCGGTAAAAGACTTTTTTAGCATGCCAAACATGTAATCGTAAAATCAGCTTGTGCCTTACCCAAAGTTGTCGCTCTTAACACTCATATACAATAAAACAATGTTTTCCTTTTTATAAAATTAGTATTCTTATAAAAACTTTTAAGACTAGATTCTTAAAATCTATATTTTTACGACAAATATTCTAGGACCTCCCATAAATTCAAAACGTCAAAATTCAAATTTCCGAGAATCTTATGTGATTGTAAGGAACGACAACTCTGGTTAAATATTAACTTGCAAGCTTTTCCATACATGAAAGTCGATATAAATCATGAGCTTGTTTAGGTGAGTGGCCTGGGGGATCCCCTTACCATCAACGATGAGTTGGATTTGTTTCAACAGGATTGGTATGGAGAATACGGCACATATATAGACCCCTACATCTGTTGGTCTGACGTCACGAATGACGAGACTCGAGTCATTGACAGAGAGGCGTTCGATACTGTATCGAGAGAGCTATCATAGACGATCCGGTCCTTGAATGTGATAAAGACGTCATCCCCGTCCAACCACATCACCTGTGCGCAGGTAAAATATTACAGGACAAGGTCAAACCATACAGATATATTATTACAAGTAAAACCAGTATAGGTAAATTTGTACCGGTCAAATGATACCAGGAAATATGATACAGCAGTGACGTTAATTTATCCCTGTATTCAGGATTTTACACTGATCTATCACAAAAATTGGCAACATTCTTTAAAAAAAAACCAATTTAACTGAAACGTCAACGAACACAGATCTTTAACAAAGGGAGATAACCATGTAACTACAACCAAAAGTATGATATTTTGCCTATGATTTGTGAAAAGGTGTTATTGATTTACATTACATTTACATTTACATCAACCATTACCGTACACCGGTATCCATAAAATTGTACAAATGTATGGATGCCGACCAGGAGGAAAACACACTTTTGTACAATAAAATGTAGTCCTAACCCCCTAGCTCTACGTACCTCGTCCGCGCCGAGGTTCTGGATGTTACAAGGGAGCTTGACTGTTGAGCCTCGCCGAGCTGTTATATTGAGGAGCGTGGTGTCTAGGACGGGTTGAGCTGGAATATTTCGAAAATATTTTTAAAATGGTTCCCCAAGAAATAACAAAATACCAATGCTTTATTTCACGTGTGCAAAGTATGATTGACAAAATCGATGTATTCTATTAAATTAAATTTAAATTAATTCAAAACGTTTCTATTCCAGAAACAATGCTTCAAAAATATTCTGTATATATATATATAGTTTAGACTAACAACGACTCAGTGTATTTATGAAATTATTCAAGTAATATATTTCAAACTTTGTTACATAGAAATGCTAAGTGATTTTTATAAAACCGCAAAATGAGGATTGATCATTGCATAAGTGCCCATCACACTCCGACAAAAACCTGGAAGACCGCACCACA